TGTGTGTGTGTGTGTGTGCAGGTTCACTGAGGAGTAATAGGATTGGTCGGCCCCGCTCTCTCTCTCTCAACACCACCAGCAGAGACTGGCCTCCTAAATCATCCTCACATCTCTGAGCAAGATGGAGGACCTGGCACCGTCTCCTCCCGCCCCCTCCGTCCCCGCAGCAGCCGTAAGCGCCCCCCCCCGTGATACAGCTACAGCTCACAGCCGTGACCCCCCCTCAAACCTCCGGGAGGACAGGAATAATATCTACTCAGCATTCTGTAAATATCCAGTGGGAGCTGTACTCGGGTTCATTGCAGCGCTGCCTCAGTTACTGAACGTGTGCTCGGCTGCTGATCCTCAAATTCCGCTCTTCTTTGTTCTTGAACTTTTCATCTTGACTCCTAAAAAAAAAAGAAGCCATGTGTGAGGTGAAGCAGCCTACTCAGCTCCTGCTTTTCATTATTCATGTTCAGTCAGAACACGATTTTCGGGTCTAGCAGAGGCTGAAGACACTTAGGAGGATGTCAGCATCGCCGCCCCTGAGCGGGAACGTTCCCCCAGAGGATTTTGATTCTACGTTTCTTTAGTTAACTCGCCATTCAGGACGGTGAGGTAGTGCAGCAGGAAATAACCTGAATGTCGTCTGCAACACCAAAATAAATGTCTCTTCTTTGTTATTTTAGTTTCAGGACTACATGCAATATGAACGAGGTGTCAGTGACGTCACCCTTCAATAAATACCTCTGGTCACTTCCTGACAGCACCTGTTTCACATCCGACTCAAAGCTGTTTGTTTGCACTTCCTGACGTTGTTTCCTCTTTTCTAGATCCTTGCTCTTTACTCAGCAGCCTCTACCATCAGCGTGTGAATGTGTGTGAATGGATGAGTTAATACTGACGGACTCTTTACTCAGCAGCCTCTACCATCAGTGTGTGAATGGATGAGTTAATACTGACGGACTCTTTACTCAGCAGCCTCTACCATCAGTGTGTGAATGGATGAGTTAATACTGACGGACTCTTTACTCAGCAGCCTCTACCATCAGGGTGTGAATGGATGAGTTAATACTGACGGACTCTTTACACAGCAGCCTCTACCATCAGGGTGTGAATGGATGAGTTAATACTGACGGACTCTTTACTCAGCAGCCTCTACCATCAGGGTGTGAATGGATGAGTTAATACTGACGGACTCTTTACACAGCAGCCTCTACCATCAGGGTGTGAATGGATGAGTTAATACTGACGGACTCTTTACTCAGCAGCCTCTACCATCAGCGTGTGAATGGATGAGTTAATACTGACGGACTCTTTACACAGCAGCCTCTACCATCAGGGTGTGAATGGATGAGTTAATACTGACGGACTCTTTACTCAGCAGCCTCTACCATCAGCGTGTGAATGGATGAGTTAATACTGACGGACTCTTTACACAGCAGCCTCTACCATCAGGGTGTGAATGGATGAGTTAATACTGACGGACTCTTTACTCAGCAGCCTCTACCATCAGCGTGTGAATGGATGAGTTAATACTGACGGACTCTTTACACAGCAGCCTCTACCATCAGGGTGTGAATGGATGAGTTAATACTGACGGACTCTTTACACAGCAGCCTCTACCATCAGGGTGTGAATGGATGAGTTAATACTGACGGACTCTTTACTCAGCGGCCTCTACCATCAGTGTGTGAATGCGTGTGAATGGATGAGTTAATACTGATGGACTCTTTACTCAGCGGCCTCTACCATCAGTGTGTGAATGGATGAGTTAATACTGATGGACTCTTTAATCAGCGGCCTCTACCATCAGTGTGTGAATGTGTATGAATGGATGAGTTAATACTGATGGACTCTTTACTCAGCGGCCTCTACCATCAGTGTGTGAATGGATGAGTTAATACTGATGGACTCTTTACTCAGCGGCCTCTACCATCAGCGTGTGAATGCGTATGAATGGATGAGTTAATACTGATGGACTCTTTACTCAGCGGCCTCTACCATCAGTGTGTGAATGCGTATTAATGGATGAGTTAATACTGATGGACTCTTTACTCAGCGGCCTCTACCATCAGTGTGTGAATGCGTATGAATGGATGAGTTAATACTGACGGACTCTTTACTCAGCGGCCTCTACCATCAGGGTGTGAATGCGTATGAATGGATGAGTTAATACTGATGGACTCTTTACTCAGCGGCCTCTACCATCAGTGTGTGAATGCGTATGAATGGATGAGTTAATACTGACGGACTCTTTACTCAGCGGCCTCTACCATCAGGGTGTGAATGTGTATGAATGGATGAGTTAATACTGATGGACTCTTTACTCAGCGGCCTCTACCATCAGGGTGTGAATGCGTATGAATGGATGAGTTAATACTGATGGACTCTTTACTCAGCGGCCTCTACCATCAGTGTGTGAATGCGTATGAATGGATGAGTTAATACTGACGGACTCTTTACTCAGCGGCCTCTACCATCAGGGTGTGAATGTGTATGAATGGATGAGTTAATACTGATGGACTCTTTACTCAGCGGCCTCTACCATCAGTGTGTGAATGTGTAGGTGTGACCTGCGGTGTAGTTTTGAGAGTTTTATTTGATAACGGAAAACTTTAAAACACAGCCTCCTGTCAGTCAGATGACCTACGCCCCTCATTAGGCAAATTTATGCAAAACCTTTTCTAAAGATCGAGTTGTAAAAAAAACTCCCCTCTGCGTAGTTTTTTAAAGGATTGAGAGTAAAATGCTCTCCAGGATCTTCACATGTTTTATATCTGCTTTAAATACGGGCTTTTTAATACAGGACCTAATGGGTGTTTCTTGGTTTTGGAGCAGCAGTATGCCTGAAGGGAACATTCTGTACGATGGGTACTCAAACTTTGAAAGTTTTTAAATGTAAATATCTTAATCATGAACGCTATAAGCACCTTTTTTTTCTCATTCTTAATTTGAGGCTTTGTATGCCTTTATTTAGAGGACAGGACAGATGATGGAGGAGGTAATCCAGAATGACATACAGGAGAGGGGAACCCGGGCCGCACACTTCAAGGATCACAGCCTCTCTACATGCAGGCGCACAACCTAACCGTTAACCGCCAACCAGCACCGCTGTAACCATCTGTCATGATGAACTTTCTTTAAGTGTCAGTAAGTAACGATGTTTCATTTGACAGGTGGTGATTGTTACGTTGATCCCACAGAGAGGAACAACTTAACATGACTCTGCAGAACGTCTAGCTCTTAGTTTTATCTTAATGTCTGTAAATCAAAACACTTTGATAATTTGATAATTTCCGATCCCAGTTCAACATTTGCGTGTTCACACCTATAGATCGTTTGCTCTGGTCTGAATCACATACCAGTTTTTTCCATTGTTGCATCTGTGTTCACACGGAGACATTTACAAGAATGTGAGTGTGGCTGGTTGATTGTCTCTATATGTCAGCCCTGTGATTGGCTGGTGAACGGTCCAGGGTGTAACCCCGCCTCTTGCAAAGAAGCGGTATAGATAATGGATAAATGGATCTCAGCTGTTTGTCTCCATTTTGTAATATTTATTTTGTCCTTCACTTTCTGTCTTCACTTTTTGTTTTTTTTGCAACAGTGGCCTCATGTGACGCGCTTTCCCCGTCACCATGACAACAGGAAGAGGCTATCTCTCCTGCCTGCCAGTTTATCTCACCGACAAAACTTACGGCTGCACAACTTTGATTTGCTGGAATAATCTACAAAGAGATGGGACGGCTCTTACAGTGATTTGCTCCGGTAAACAAAAATCTAACACTTCAAGCTCTCAATTTTCTGTTTGCTCTCCCCCGCTGATGTGTTTTTTTTCTTTCTGGTTTATAAGTTCAAAGAGCAGACAGGAGGAATTGTTCAGGCGGAAGAGAGATCCCCATGGTGCTGTCGATAGGTTAGAGCTGGGGGGAGGGGCTTGTGTGACGTATACGGTTAAAAGTTGAGAAACCTTCACAGTCTTGGTTTCCTGAGGCAAACGGCGTCTAGCATGCAGATCGGTGTGTGCAGCGTGGAGACATTAAAGCAGCTGCTGATTTATTTATCAGGAGGAGAAAACACCCGCTGTGAGCCGTCACCGCTGTCAATCCATCAACGACCTCGTCTGCTTCTTCCTCTGGCACCGCCGCTCTGACAGCAGAGTCACAGTCGATGCAAACAGGAAGTCAAACCATGAACACAAGTTAGTGATAGAAACTGGAACAAGGAAAGGTTGGTGATGAAGATTAAGCATCCAAAACAGAACTTAAAGATAGAGTCAGGCGCTTTAACTTCAAAATAAAATACAGACTTATCCTTCATCGCTTCTGGGCCAAAACGGCAGTGTGGGGGTGCCTTAAAGAGGACATATCATCCCCCTCCTCCACCTTTTCAAACAGTCTGTGGTCTAAATGAAACATCTGTGCTGTGCTTTGGTCAAAATATAACATGAATCAAGCACCAGAGGAGGTTTGTGACCCTGTAGAAACCAGCTCTCTCCGTAGACATCACTCCTCTGTAGCGAGAATAAAAATGGAGGACCTGTGCAAAAGTTTTGTTCTAGGCTGGGCTTGGAGTCTATGGGTGGAGATACCAGGGGAGGGGAGGGGATTTGTTTTTACCAGAATCCCACTGTGACATCACAAGGAGAGCACATTACAAACAGAGCATTTTTCTCTGTGTTGTAAGACTTATGCAGACCACAAACAAAAAACTGGATGGGTTTATTTCACATGTTGTGGGTCAGTAGACTCTCAGGTTACCCACATATATGTTCAAAAACACTGTGAAAGTTGATTTTTCAAAATATGTCCCCTTTAAACCGCCTACCGTCTCTGGTCCAAACAAATCCAGAGCATTCAGGAGCAGAATCTAAAGTTAGAAGGAGGACATACTGGCTGCTGTATTGTTGTCAGAGAAGCCAGCACTTCAACATAGCATGTTTCCTTAATCTCTATCTTAATGTCATCATGACTGATTGTGTGTGAGAGATTAAAAAATGAAGAAACAAACACTCGTTATGTCCATAATGACTTTTTTTTATTACGAGAGAAATATGACTTCACATCACCTCAGCGGTGAGAATAAAACATAAATAAAACATTCTTATAAAATGTTGCAATAAATCAACAAAACAGATTTTTTTTTACATGTGATTTGTTTTATACATGAATCATATTTACACATTAAGTCTTTGCCCTTTTGTTTTTTTACATAGTCGGGGATGAAGCGTTTCTTTTTATAGTACAGACATGTCCTACATGTCGGAGCAGAGGGTACAAAAAGCTCTCCTCTCTCTCCTGAGAAGATGTTTGGGTTCTACTCGAGTGCATTTTCATCGTTAAGATTTAAGGCTACGCAGGGTTCACCTGACGGACACGCTCGTCATCACCGACGGGCCCATCATCATCATCATCATCATCATCATCATCATCGGGGAGGGAGTTCATTTTCCTCATCGTGTCTGCTGATTGTCCCGTACACAGAGATTGAGAGAGAGAGCGCTCCCTCCAAATACAACACCTGTGTGTGTGTGTGTGTGTGTGTGTGTGTGTGTGTGTGTGTGTGTGTGTGTGTGTGTGTGTGTGTGTGTGTGTGTGTGTTCATATCAAAGCTTCTGCTGTGGTTTCACTGAATAACCGATTACAACCTCTGACAACTTCTTTGTTTTCTGCAGTCGATTACAAATGTCAGCGAGTGAGAGAGCCCACGCTCCTCACTTTTATCTCTGACCTGCTGAGGACAGCGTCTCCACTTCTCACAATAAAAGAATTAAAAAATACTTTCATATTTCTGTCTTTTGTGTGAGACAGGGATGTGATTCAGTCGTAGGTGCAGCGCCCCCTAGTGGTCAAATACACCTAAAGCGAGGGGCAGAAACGTCCCTCTGTTTTTTCAACAGGATTAACCGTAAAGCCATAAACAAAAAGACATGAAGCAACTAATTGGCTGGCCTCTGTAAGCCTCTTAGAAGACACACAGTAATAAACCAGCAGACATGAAGTCACAAACAAGCACTTCAAGACGAGACAAGGGAGTTCTGTGGCGCTGATTCACTGAAGAACGGCTCCTTTGAACTCGCCCTCCTTTGACTTCCTACCTGTCCAGCAGGTAGAGTGTGTGTGTGGCCCTGAACGTGAGCACGATGTGGCTAAAACATGGGCGTCAAATCAAATTAAACTAAATGAAGCTGCAGCTGTTTGGATTCATTTGAATCATTTTACTCGCTTTGGATCGTCGCTGCTTTCATGAGCGTCTGTGCCCTCGATTCAAAAAAAAAAGTCGACACAGATCTGCCTGATTGACATCTCACACTGATGAGAAACGAAAAGCATCGACACATTAGGACCAAAGTGCTTAACAACACAGACGAGTGTTGATTGATTGGAAACAATCAGAGACTCGGGCGACACCTGCTGAGACGCTCCCGTCGTTCAGAGTCCAAAACAGGCAAACATGACGTCAACGTCCTCTCTCTCTCTCTCTCTCTCTCTCTCTCTCTAAACGTCTAAAACAACCTCCGATTCCTCAAACCATCAGCCGTGTGCGTCTCTCACAGACACATCAGCATGCTACCTGCAGAGGTACATGCAATTAAAAAAAGAGGATGGGGAAGCCCTGCAGGTGATGAGGGCCGTGTTGACGGGCGGATTAAGCAGAGGATCAAGTTGAGATCCACCCGAGGCTCCAGGAAAGAAACTGAAGGATGTAAAGTAAGAGGTACGTCTCCATCTGACACATCTGCACAGGACAGATGTTTATGCATCATGTAAATATGATATTCATATTCTTATTAAAGGGGTAATATTGGATTTGAAGTGACAAAAAAAATGTAAATTCTGGTTGGCATTTTTTGTTTTGGATTTTGAAAATTTAAAAAAAATCAGACAATCGAAGAAGACAGAGCACTTAGTTTTGTGTTGAATCTGTCATCACAAGAAGTTCACTGATTTACACGAGTCTTACCAACAGGATAATACACCACTTCTGTTTGTTTTCAAAGCTGCAGATTAGTGGACCTACTCGCCGAGTCTTCTTTTCTGAACGGTGAGTAAAGGCAGCGACGCCCCTTCAGAGTGGATTAATACAGGATCGTTTATCAGAGAGGAGCGCCGCAGACAACACTGAAAACACCTCGCTTCATCCCTCCTTCACTACTTTCCCCTCGCTGCCTTCAGCCGGCTAGTGGTCGTCGATGAAGACGTTCAGGAAGAAGAGTTTCCAGCACCATGTGGAGCTCGTTAACATTCATATCTGTTGGGTTTGTTCCTGTCCTTGTTCCAGGGGGTTCAGTCACATTTCAGAGGACGGCCTCTGAACAAACACAGAGGCTGAGAGGCAGTGGAGCTGCTGACACACTTGGCAGAGCCAGCGAGGCAATCTTCTGTGAAATGCTTTTCAATTTGATCCTCTATCACAAATTTATGATTGTACAAAATGAAGAGGTGAATCCTCCGTCTTGAAAGCGTGGCGTCTTGGAGAAGGAAAACAGGATTTTTTGGAGACAGAATAAGTGATAAATGTTCCGCCTGTGAACTCGTACTTCCTTTACATAGCGTACCTTCTTAAAGGTACCAGCAGTGGTGTTAATAACACATGTTCTGTCTGTTTGATTGCATGTGATGTTGTGGAATTTAAACTCCTTCCAAGGTGCAAAAAAAGTTTCTGTTTCAGTCACTGTCGAGGACTGCTACTTGGCAGAGGCTCGTCCTCTGGGTGGCTGTGATGGGTTGATAAGGAGGACCAGGACCAGGAGGAGAACCAGTTCTCTCAGCAGAAGAAGATTTCTCCGTCCAGAGGGGGCTCTGGGAGGTGCTGGGGGTCTGCAGGGGGGGAGAGAAGGAGAGTCAGTCAGTGTTGCTCGTCCTATCAGAGGATTTGTCCTGCTGATTTATTCTACAATTTATTTCCTGCAGGAAGAGCAGCTTCCTGTTCTCTCTTTAAAATAAAGGTCTATTTAATATGAACTTCAGATGGTGCAACATGTCCGAGCCCCTTTGATCCCCTCATTTAAAAACTGCTCAATGCAAAGGCAATGAACAGGTCTGGTGCTGGGACCTCGTGTTGTGGTACTCTAAATCAGTTTTTGATCTCAACAGCGATCTCTGGACCACTTTTTGAAGATCTCGTCTCAGAATAGAAAGTATTTTGACTCGGTCTCAGACTGGACAGACTCTGGATTTTAAATCAAGACCGGTCAAGACCACCACTGATCGGCTATTTTTCCACCTCATTACTATGATTAGAAGAAAAGCTCCTCTTTCTAAAAGACCAAATAACTTCAATTTGTTTGTAGTTTTATTTTTATCCCCTGGTTACGTCCACAACCTTCCCGGTGTTACGGTCTAAGTGAGGGACACGCCCCCTGAACACAAGAGGATGATGTTTCAGGGATATTTATGGTCTTGGTCTTGTCTCGGTTAGTTAGAAATTGAGCTGTGTCCCCGTGTGGATTCATACAGATGGATTATTAAAGATGATTTTAAAACAGGCAGTAATAAGAGGAAACATTCTCCGGGTTCACGTCTGTCTTTTTTCACTCCCCTGATCGTGTTTATTCAGGGGACGTGTTTCTCTCAGAGATGGTTAAGAAGTCTCTCTCTGGAGGTAAGCAGGCCTGAAGAGGTTAACTGATCTCTCCATGTTCTTCATCCACTTGTTAGCTACACCTCCACCTCCTCCTCTCTCCCTGATAATCAAATGTCATGTGTCTAATCTGAAGAGTCCTTGACAGAGACCCTCATCTCCTCACTGTACCATGCTGAATTATTGAACTCTAACCTGCTGTCTGCGCGCCGCCTCCTCCTCCTTTGCCCTTCTTCTTCTTCTTCTCTTTCCCGTCTTTGCTCTTGTTCTTGGCCAGCTGCAGCAGACTCTTTGAGAGCTGGTTGTTGCCGCCTTCGCTGCCCTTGAGGTTGGTGTTGCTGGAGGTAAACGGATTGAGGCCTTTCCCTTTGGGCTTGGACTTCTGGGGCAGCAGCCTTGGCAGGGAGGACGAGGACGAGGAGGAGAGCTCCGGTGGATCCGGCTCCGGAGACTGGGAGCCGGCGGGGAACTGGAGGTCGTCCAGAGTGGTGGAGGGATTCTAAAGGGTGGAGGTAAGAACGATGTACAGCTTGTTATCTACACCCACATGTTGTGAAAGTGTCAATTCTTATTCTACAAACAAAGAGAATTATTTTCAGATTTTTCATCGGTTAAGTTCAGGAGAAGAAAACACAAAGCGTCGGTTTCTCCACAGGGAGCGACACATCCCACCGTCTCGTCCCTCGCTCACCTCAGCCAGACGGAGCTCGTCCATCTTGTCGAGGTGCCGCTGCAGAGCCTCCTTGTCCCGCTCCAGCTTCCTCTGGGCGTCCCTCAGCCGCTCCAGGTCCCTCTGGTACTCGTCCTTCTTACTCTGCAGCTCCTGCTTGGCGTCCTCCAGCTCCTTGTGCTGCTTGCAGACCTCCTCCTCCTGCAGTGGTTAGGAAGTGCATCGATGGATTTATTGAAATGTTCAGTTCAAACATTAATCACTGAGGTGAGCTGCTCATCGAGTACAGCGACGTAACACATCTTTAGACAGTTACACGTTTTCTACAGAGGCTGTTGGTTCATATCTGACCTCTGCCCTTTGCTGCATGTTAAAATAACACTAGAGCTGTGGCAGGTTAATAAAAAGTGAGCATGATGAGGAAATCGTTTATTTGCCTTTTCTGGTTTTAATTTTATTGTCTGTTTTGGTTTGGTTTTTGTACACGTCTTCTAACTGCTATATTGTTTAAAAATTTCAATAAAATTGTAATTGACACTCTCCTTCTTATTCTAACCAAGAACATAACCAAAGAAATCTTTAAATGACACAAAGCTACGACCAAAAGTGAAACGATGACTATGTCAGTATTTGAAAAGACATCAAACAAACATGAGTCCAAACTTTTATAGAATATCCTGCATAACTATGAATGTTGACAACGTGAACTGAACTTGACTGCAACACTGAAAAACTCTTTTCAAACCACATTTACAAGAAGGAAACTTTTGTTACTGTCAACATGTTTCAAACCCAGACAAGACCTCAGTGAAATATTTATACATCAAATGTGCAATCTATACATGAACCGTGCAATATCTACACAGTTAATCCATCAGTGTATGTTCATATTTGTAAATATTGTTTATATTCTCAATGACCTGTGCTTGAACATAGATTATTACTTGTTCTACTTTATTATTGCTTTCACTTGGTACTTCACTTATTATATTGCTATACTGTTGTTATTTTATTCTATATTGTGAACTTATCTGTACTTCCTACTGATTGTTGATGTTATGAGCAACTGTAGCAAACAAATTTCCCCCTGGGATTAATAAAGTATTTCTGATTCTGATTCTGATAGTCTTTAAGGGTTTGCACGGCTGCAGTAAAAAGTAAAATACTGAAGAGTGCTTCCTGTGTCAAGAGAAGCTTAGCATGAGGAAAACAGACACCTTCCTTAAAAGGCTTGTTATTTCCTGCAGGAAACTACGACCGTCTTTCACACAGGTTCAAGTCTTAACTAAAGTACAAATCGATCCATCTACTGAAAAAGAAACACAGCGGGGGTTTTATTAAGAATTACAGCTGCCAGGAGACACATCAATATTCTACAGAACTGCTGGAAAAATGATGCAAAGTAAGTACCTGTGTGTGCACCAGCGCCTCCCTCTCCGTCAGCTGCTGCTCCCTGTGCTCCCACTCCCTCTCCCTCCTCCTCTTCTCCTCAGCATGAGCCGCCTGCTGCCTCTGCAGGGAGGCCAGCTCCTGCCGCTGCTTCTCCAGGCTGCGCTGCTTCTCCTGTTCGATCAGCGAGCCGGGCCGAGACGACGGCCGTGATAGAGACGAGCAGGAGGAGGGGCGCTCGCTCAGGGCCTGCCGCTGGTCATCTATGAAGCTGTCCTGCTGGACCACCACCGCCTGGGAGAGACGCAAGCAGAGATTGATTAGCTCAGACACTTCCTTTATGCTAATGTCATAAGAGGTTCTTCGTCTGTGCCTGTTGTTTTGGCTCTCATTGCACCTGAAGGTTCCTCAAATATCTATTTACTTTCTTTGTTTCAAACAAGAAGTGATGCTTTTGTTTTATTTTACAGTAGATGCAGAAAGTTTCCCTGCTTGTGATCAGGAGAGCATGTGTGCGCTGTGTTACCTGCAGAGTGCTGAGCAGGAGGTGCAGGTTGGAGACGCTGTGGAGGACCTGCTGTGAGAGAAAAGAGAAGTCACTGAGCATCTCGTCAACATCACACATCCTGTTTCTCTTCTCGTCACCCTGTCTGTTAAATGTTGTTCCTGCTCGTTAAAAACGCGACCTGGACGCCGGCAGAGCGTCATTTTGAAATGTTGACTTCTGCTCTTAATAAGCTCCACGGACAGATTGGATGCAATTTGAATTTTTACAGGTCAACGCTCGGACAAAAGGCAGCATTTAAACTGACATGGATTTAAAGATGATGTGACCTTTTCCTCCATTTAGACTCTGACAAAGAGACAAGGCCACGGAGCTTTCAGCTGTCACCATGTTTACCAAGCGCTCCAAATGCTCCAATTAAGATTCACTGGAACTGAAGCAAAACAGCATTTATGACTAACAGAGAACTTCTGCAGGAAGTTTTTAACTCGAACATTTAAATAGAGCAGAGTTATCAAACTGTCCGTCAGGATGTCAGGCTGACAAGCAGATAGTTTTTTATCTGCATCTTTTGTCAGCTCAAATATTTATGGAACACCAAAACATTCTGTTCCTCAGTGACGACCTGTTTAGATTGATTGATGCTGTACTTAAATTGCACGGGAAGGTCGCTCTCTAATGTTTATTTAAAGGAGCAGTATGTAACTCTGACCCCTAGTGTTTAAAATGGGTACTGCAGTCTAAATTCTAAACATCATAGAGAGCTGTCTCTCCCCCCCCTCCTCTCTAGAGTGGATGCTCACTCAGGTCACCATGTGGTGGACTCTGAAGCTTCAGTGTTTATCCAGCTCTGCATGGGTCTGTAAACCTTTCTGTGTTCTAACCTCTCTCCATTTTTCAAAAGCATCTCCAATATTGATCCTAGTTTGAGCACGTTTCTGCTCGTGGAGCTTATTAGAAACATGCAGAGGCTTTTTAGGTCGGGTACAATCACTTCTATCTGAACCACTTCTCTTGACCGCTTCCATCGCTGCAACACCTGTTGACCTGATAACTGCTCTCATATCTGACAAACAGAGGGGCGTCCAAAACGGCCGTGTGTGGCGGTCACCTTAAAACCGCCTACCTTCTCTGGTCCAAACAAATCCAGATCATATGATGATATAGTGAGGTACTTTCATCATTTCAGTCACTACACATCTCACTGATTGGTCCTTTAAATCTTTATCATACAGTATATTTGTTTTCTAGACTCATGCTTTTGGGTGTTTTTTTGATGCTTCTTTGATTAAACTTCAGCATGTTATCACTGGTGTTTCAGTGTTAGCAGAGTGGAGACAGTTTCCATGTGAACAGCAGGTTTAATCGAGTCGAGGACGGGAAGTCAGAGTTACCTCACTGTTCCTCTTGAGCAGCTGCAGCAGGTTGGCGTTTCCTCCCTGCACACAAACACAAACACACACAGTGATGAACACACACACACACACATCTTATGGTGTACATTATGAGAGCGTGGAACAATGTATACATGTCTGATTGGATGCGATTACAGCGACAGACGTGGGCGTCTTAAATGTAATTGTATCAGCGTGTGATTATGTGCAGCTGATGCAGGGACACAGCAGGCTTGAAGCTGTGTTTCCAGTAAGGACGGTTAAACGTCTCTAAAAAAATGTAATTTAAATTTGAGAAGAGAAATCACAACCTGAGGTGAAAACACAAAGTTCTTCACTCTGCATTGTTTATCTGCAGTGATCGTTCTGACTTCTGCTAACACTTCCTTCTTTCACTGAACCTCTCTGATCTTTGGCTTCACGCCTGGGATGAAATAAATTAATGAGTCGTTCGGGAAAGTTGTAAATGAGCACAAAAAAAAAGCCACATTTGTTCAGACTCTCGGTATCTTGGATCCACTCAAACATTCAGGGCATCATTATGTGGCGTCCAGCTGCTGGATGTGTGTGCAGGATAAACGAGCACAGAGCAGCAGCACCTAAAGGCACACCATTCATTTTCATCCATTGACTCCTTACACAACTGATGGTTGCTATTAGCAACGGGACCTGGCAGGAGGAGTCAAGAGGCTAATTCACTAGAGAGGAGGAGAGCAGCTAAATTCATCTTAGCGCTGTTGTTAATGTTGGAGGACAAATCCCCCCCCCCGGCTTCACAGTCAAAGAGTAATTGGCTGCCGAGTTTACCGACCTTCTTTAAAACGCTGTCGGACTCCGTCCTGCGCAGATCTCCCGCCGTATCCTCGCTCTCGTCTCTGTCTCCGGCTGAAAGAAAAAAGGAAACAAAGGGAGACAAGAGTGAGGCAGGCGGCAAAAAGAAACCGTCACATCAACTGAGAGACAGAAGAAGAGCAGGAGACAGAAGTCATACATGTTTCATACCAAATGAAACACACTGATGATCCAATGTGTTGACGTGATGTAATCAATAAGGTGTCTGCACTGAGAGGCAGTGAACAGGCGTACTGAAGAAATTATGTGTGCAGAAGAAAAGAATGCAAACATGTGATCCTCCAGCTTCTTTAAAATGAAATGTAAGGCAGAGAGTCATCTTTGTAGAAATTAAGATTTCATTTTGATGCCATATCCTCCAGCTCTAGCCTGTATCCTGATGCGCTGCTTTAACATTGATTTAAATCTTACCATCATTTCACAAAGTTAGAAACATGTTTTTATATTTAGAAGACTTAAAAGAAGCAGCTGAAGGCACTAACTCAGAAAAAGAATAGAGGCAGAGACGTAGGCTCACTTTTTATTTCCATTCAAAGAATCAGAGCTCTAATTATACAGGCGTAGTCAACAGGAAAGCTGCACGCACTGTAGACTGTAAATATTATTATATTTGAAGCCTGAGTGACGTCACCCGTCTGTTCCTGCAGGGGGCGCTGGAGTCCCATCGATGGCGGTCTCCATGCTGGAAATGCTGTCTCAGTCTAACTTTCAGTCAACCTAACGACAGGCTGAGAGCTGGAGCTGAGGCGGGTTTTAAACCTCCTGACAAACCGTTACACCGCGCCCACCTGTCAATCAGGTCAGCTACACGCCTTATTGTGAATAACTCTTATCCTTCATCAAATCAAAACTGATGAGTCATCAAAACATTCACCCCCCGTACAGTGTGTGTCCATCGAGACATGAGCTAATCACACCTATTTGGTTTTTTGAACCAGGCTGTAAACATGTTCATCTCTGCTGTAAAAACAGGCTTTTTAGAATGGGTGTGTATGTGACTTCCTGTGCTTCTGCAGCCAGCCTCTAGTGGACACTCCAGGAACTGCAGGATTTTACACTCAAGCATCGTCTTCATTTCTCAACACTGAAGTTTGCCCCTTGATTGGTTTCACTAAATCTACGTCTTGTTTTAAATTTGAGTGACTAATAAAGAAGTCTTTGTCTCTGTCTCAGGGTCATCACCTGGTAAACAAACATCCAGGAGAACAAAACAAAGTTTAGTTTGTGTGTGTCGTGTATCTTCACCTTAATGGAGAAGTTTAAATATGTTAATCTTATAAATCACTATTTCATTATATAAAATAAAGATGCATGTTCTTCTGCAGAGGAGAAAAAGAATCAGGAAGTCTGAACCTCCTGATCTCTCTCACTGCCAGCAGAGTTTCACTTCTGAGGTATCGCCCCCGGCAACGTCTCCCTCAGGGTGATGCAGCTCTGCTGTCCAAGTCCTCGTCTCAAATGTTTTATCTAACTGCACTAAAGAGGGGCATTGTGGGAAAGCTAGGGATCTGTCTGAGTGAACAGAGGAATGTTTTCACCTGGGTCTTCCTACACCTGGGTCTTCCTACACCTGGGTCTTCCTACACCTGGGTCTTCCTACACCTGGGTCTTACTACACCTGGGTCTTTCTACACCTGGGTCTTACTACACCTGGGTCTTTCTACACCTGGGTCTTTCTACACCTGGGTCTTCCTACACCTGGGTCTTCCTACACCTGGGTCTTCCTACACCTGGGTCTTACTACACCTGGGTCTTCCTACACCTGGGTCTTACTACACCTGGGTCTTACTACACCTGGGTCTTTCTACACCTGGGTCTTACTACACCTGGGTCTTTCTACACCTGGGTCTTCCTACACCTGGGTCTTACTACACCTGGGTCTTTCTACACCTGGGTCTTACTACACCTGGGTCTTTCTACACCTGGGTCTTTCTACACCTGGGTCTTCCTACACCTGGGTCTTCCTACACCTGGGTCTTACTACACCTGGGTCTTCCTACACCTGGGTCTTACTACACCTGGGTCTTACTACACCTGGGTCTTTCTACACCTGGGTCTTACTACACCTGGGTCTTTCTACACCTGGGTCTTACTACACCTGGGTCTTTCTACACCTGGGTCTTTCTACACCTGGGTCTTCCTACACCTGGGTCTTCCTACACCTGGGTCTTACTACACCTGGGTCTTCCTACACCTGGGTCTTACTACACCTGGGTCTTCCTACACCTGGGTCTTACTACACCTGGGTCTTTCTACACCGGGTCTTCCTACACCTGGGTCTTTCTACACCTGGGTCTTTCTACACCTGGGTCTTTCTACACCTGTTAGCAGCTCAGTCCTGAAGTGGAGATCGAGGGGGTTTCATATTTTGGACTCACTCTTACTGCTGTGCATCTGGTGACTGTCGAAGCCTCCGAAGGTCTCGGCCCGACGCGGCAGACACACCGGCCCTGTGCTCGCTACTTCCTGGACACTGGCCATCGCCCCGCCCAGACTGCCGTTCACCAGAGCCTGCAACGTCTCCACTGTCACACACACACACACACACACACACACATCAGCATGCAGGTCAGTAAGTGAATTATCTCGGCTAACTCTGTTACTGTGCAGCTCTGCACTCATGAATCCCACCAGACACTTCAGCCTTCAAACCTGGCATTGGCTCCTGTTGCTTAGCAACTATTGACAACCTGTTTGAACCGCCGAGCTCCTCCACTAAAAGTTTAAACGTCTTTATCCAACTGAAAATATATATGAAACTCTGGAAATACATTTACAGTATTGTTTCCACACATGTCAGGAGACGACGCAGCGCGGCGACCTTTCAGGGGGAAATGAGGAGAAACAAAAGCTGCTTCTGCTGGATGTGAAAACACAGTAAACACAATAACCTCAGAAAAGAAACGACATTACTTCTGCCAATTCACATATCAGATAAGGACAATTATTGCTGCAGGCTTTGGGTGAAGGAGCTGAGAAACACAGTGAGAGACTCTCCTCTACGTTTGAAAGGGGAAAGCTCTCCTTCTTCTTTCTTTCCCGTATTAGGGCTGAAAACTATTCTTAGTTTTTTGTCAGTTACGCAACCTGTAAACTAGACGATACATTCCTGGGATTTTGTGACCAAGTACATGTTTTCATGGAACAGTATTAGCCTGCAGCAGTCCTTAGAAATCAGTACCAAGGTTCTCCGTTCTTTGTTGCTCACGTCTTTGTGTACGAGCTCCTTGGAAACGAGATGTTTTTAGATTTAACAATACTTAAAGAGGACATATTTTCATTTCCCCTGTGGTCTAAATGAAACATCTGTTCTGTGCTTTGGTCAAAATATAACATGAATCAAGCACCAGAGGAGGTTTGTGACCCTGTAGAAACCAGCTCTCTCAGAACGCTCCGTTTTGGTGTGTGTGTCTCTTTAAATGTAATGACCCTGCCCCCTGAGTTTTCCAGTAGACACCACTCCTCTGTTTTTTTGACCAGAATCCCACTGTGACATCACAAGGAGAGCACATTTGAAACAGAGCATTTTTCTCTGTGTTGTAAGACTTATGCAGACCACAAACAAAGGACTGGATGGGTTTATTTCACATGTTGTGGGTCAGTAGACTCTCAGGTTACCCAAACATATGTTCAGAAACACTGTAGAAGTGGATTTTTCAGAATATGTCCCCTTTAAAAAATGTCATCGGTATATTTTGTAAATGTTTTTGAAGCAGACACTTGAGAAACAGTTTTATTTGTGATTGTTTCAATATAAAGCAAGCAAACCGGTGCAGATGATTTGCTAAACTTCTCTGTCTCTCTCCCTCTGTCATAACAAACACTCACTCACATTTTTCACATCACTTTTTTTTCTAGCGCTGCTTTCCTCTCATGCACATTTGATGTATGATCGATTAGTTGCAGGTATCTCCGAGGAGAGGTGAAATGTTAAGTTTGAGTTCATCTGATGGTTTGATTCAAATCAAAATGTTAATGTGCAGCGTGCTCCTGTGCAGTGCACAGTCTCTTTCGTCTTGAGCGTGGAGGCTTGTGGTCGTCATGCTCACCGTCATGGATTCTGGATTGAAATAGTTTTAAAAATACCATCAAGTGACCTGCAGCACCATGAGAAGCAGCGGTGTAATTAATCAGTACCCGCCGTGTGCAGAGAGGATGTTCCAGCAGCAGCCTCTTGATTAAGTGCTCGCTGGCGCACAGACTCGTCTTCCTGGAAACGGTCGTCATGGAACAGAGCAGAGTCATGTTTGTGTTGTTAGTAAAGGTGAGTGTTGTTCCTGCAATGACGATAACTAAACTGGGACGCCACATTAAAAATCTGATGTTTTTCTTCCTGGGTTGGACAGTTTCATTTGGAACACACTGTCAGGATTATGATGTTATAAAAAATTGCTCATCAACTCTGTTGGAACTCAAAAAGTTGAAGCTTAGTCGAGCCTCGGTCGACAGTCAGTCTCACAGTCGAGCACGAGGATTGTTCCACTCCAGCTCTACGGGGGTGTTTAACGTCTAACTTTACAAAGATTAGTCTGTTTTAAATAAATGATTCATCACCTCTCTTTGTGTAAATATCACCTTATTAATACTTTAAATCACTCTCCTCAGGGTGTGCATGAAGAAATCACCACAAGATTTTGATAGAAGCAGTGGATCCATGTTCGGAGAATTTCATTGGCTACAGGAGATGTCAATAATCGGCACAGTTTTGTGCAATTGGACGTATATATTGGCATATATATATATGCAGGCGCCTCCTTTTCAACTCAGGCTCTCATTGGCTGTTACAGGCTGGTAACAGCGAATTAAATGGTCAACGTGCGGCCGCCATTTTTGAAGTATGGCAGTTGAAATAAATCAGTCATAAAAATGAATTATTACAGAAGATACAACGGGAAAAAAGGGGAACAGTGCTGGGATTGTAAATCAATCTGTGGATCTTAATGGATGAAATGTGTTTGGATTTAATCATCGCCTGGATTTTCAAATCGTGGGGATCCTTGTCGATGCTGCAGGACCGTTTTTGTTGGAATATTATGAGTTCAGTAGATCTCTAATAGTAGGTCTTAAATCAGTAAAAATGTTGTTTCTCTGTTGGTGGTCTGACGGGTGTGTTGATTGTGGCTTCTGGTCCGTCAGTGTGTGTGCGGACCAATCACGTTCCACTATGTAAATCCTTAGTTGGGGACTTCTCTAATATTAACAGATATGTTCATTAATGCTCCCAGCGGTTATGGAGGAGTCTGCCTGAAAGTCTGCAGACTAGTTCAGATCATTTGTGTTATCAATAACTAATGCTGCTGATAAAATGCATCCCCTCATCCCCCGCAGCCTTCAGACCCCGCCCATCACCCGACTGACCAGGAAAGAGAGGTCGGGTTATAAAATGAAAATCTGATTTGTCTAAAGCTGAAATAAAGAGGTGCACCTGCTTTTATATTTGCGGGGTGGAGATGAAGAGATGTGATGCAAAGATGGTGTCCGCCTTCATGCCAGTATTTTAAAATATAATTTAGTTATTGCAGCGTGGCCTGCTGACAGTCTTACTGAGAGAGTCTAAGCACAAAAGCCTCATCATCGAGGACTTCCCTTTGGAGTCGTGACACGTTCAGGTTTTCCTCAGATGTAGTTCTCTGCATGTTCCTGTACACTGCAGCAGGGAACATGTGATATGTGGGCCAGCACTCAGCTGAGGGGCTCTGATCATTTATCATGACATGAGATAAAGTACTGTTGACCTCTACCCGGTCTCTCCACTGTTTAAGAGTCCTTGATGGAAAGTGCAGCAGCAGCAGCAGCACACATTTAGTGAACACTCTTTCCTCTTCACTGTCTTACCTTCCTGCAGGGCGTCCTTCATGACCGACGCCCCCCTGGGCAGCTCCTGGCTGCTGGACGACCTGAAGAAAGGCTCCACCTGCTGGGGGACCTCCTCGCCCTGGTTCAGTCCCTCCCACATCCCCCTGAAGAGCCGCACCTTCTCCTCCAGCAGAGACATGATCTCTGTGTCCTTCTGCCTCAACAGATCTGACCCGCAGAGACAAGAAGAAGAAGAAAAAAAAAAACATTCAGTGCAGCAAACCGTCTCCCTCTTTTTTCTTGTCTTTTCTCACAAACACTCCCCGGGCGTGTCTCTCTCACCTCTCATCTCCTTGGCTTTACTCTCCAGTTGTCTTTTGTCATCTTCCGTCTCACTGGGGATCCCTTCATCCTCGTCTTTATCCCTGTCCGAGGAAAGAAAAACAACAACAAACATACATTTAGACAGGATGTACACAGGGAAAAAAAAATCTAAAAACCATCACTAACAATATCCAGCTCTATCACAAGCCATCACTTCTCAGCAGATGGATGAGAGAAGCATGAGAGGGCCATGACGGACAGTGTTCTTGTTTCTACCTCCTCCTCCTCTCCTGCCGATAGCCTGATCTCAATTTAGTATTTGACAGAAGTCAGACGCAGTGAGAGAGAGAGAGAGAGAGAGAGAGAGAGAGAGAGAGAGAGAGTGCTGAATCTCTCTCCTTCCCGCTGGCTGCAGTCAAATAATCCTCTGCTTACAGCGAGCTGCCCTTGAAGCCCAATCCAGCATTAGACTGTCCCTGAGTACATCCCATCCCCAGGTAGAAGGAGTGCTAATCCTCCTGACAGCAAAGTGCTCGGTCGCAGCTTACCATTTATTACAAACTACAGAAGTGGGCTGGGTCTAACTCCTGGTTAACAACACAGATAGACTCTGAAGTGAACCCTGAGAGGCCGACGCTGAATGTAAAGCTCTGTGAGGGGCTGACTTTGTTGTGCAGTGGAATAAAGGCTCCGAGGAAGGTCAGACGTTTAGTTTGGGTTTTACATGCTGAGGGAGAAATATGTCAAAAATGTTCTCATCTGGCAGAAAGCATTCAAATCACCATCAACTGAATCCTTGAGCCTGGCTGCTACAAATGACTTGAAGTCATCGATAATTAGCATAGCGGCTTCAAATTAAAAACAAACCCCCACTCACATGGACTGCATGGCGTCCTGGATGAGCTGCATCCAGGTGTTGCGCTCGTCCTTCGAGCTGGCCAGGACCTCCATCATCTCGGGCTTCTCGATCCCCGCCGTGATGAGGAAGAGGCCGCGCTCCTCGTTGGCCACCTCCCTCACGATGAGCTTCTGGAGGGAGATGACGGTGGAGCGCTGGTCCTACAGGGCGAGGAGGAGGGGGATGGACGGAAAAATGATGGGAGGGGAAGTGATGGAGGCGACACAAGAGGAGAATGAGAAGAAGAAAAAAAACAAAAGGAGATGTCAGAGGGAGGGTCAAGGAGAAAAAAAGGGGGAGGAGGGAAGAGGATGTGGAGAGGATGGTAAGAAGGGTGGGGCAAAGGAGGAGGGGGAGATAATGGGAGAAGGAAGAAGAGGAAATGAAAAGGCGCGCAATAAGAAAAAGAGACAAAACAAGACTCTCGTTAATGTTATCATCCAAATAGCTTTCAGCTGACTTCACCACAAACCAACGTTTCTTTTCTGCTCTACTCAATAAAAGTCTGAAAACACTCAAAACCACATCCCACAGTTTTCCCTTCAATCTGTCGCCTGAGGTTACAAAGAGTCAGAGTTCATCTTACTATTGTGTGTAAAACATGAGGGAGCAAACTCCACGGCCCTGCTCAGGAATGTTTAAAGGACCAATCAGTGAGCTGCGTAGAGAGTGAGATGATAAAGGTATCTTACTCTCTGATCATTAAGGAAACATGCTGTGTTGAAGTGCTGGCTTCTCTGACAACAATGCAGCAGCCAGTATGTCCTCCTTCTAACTTTAGATTCTGCTCCTGAATGCTCTGGATTAGTTTGGACCAGAGAAGGTAGGCGCTTTTAAGACACGCCCCCCACACGGCCGTTTTGGACGCCCCTCTGTTTGTCAGATATGAGAGCAGTTATCAGGTCAACAGGTTTTGCAGTGATGGAAGCGGTCAAGAGAAGTGGTTCAGATAGAAGTGATTGTACCCGACCTAAAAAGCCTCTGCATGTTTCTAATAAACTCCACGAGCAGAAACGTGCTCAAACTAGGATCAATATTGGAGATGCTTTTGAAAACTGGAGAGAGGTTAGAACACAGAAAGGTTTACAGACCCATGCAGAGCTGGATAAACACTGAAGCTTCAGAGTCCACCACATGGTGACCTGAGTGAGCATCCACTCTAGAGAGGAGGGGGGGGAGACAGCTCTCTATGATGTTTAGAATTTAGACTGCAGTACCTATTTTAAACACTAGGGGTCAGAGTTATATGTTGCTCCTTTAAAAGTGAACGTCTGTTAAATTACATGAAATGTTTCCCATCCTGAAGTCTTAATGTTGGAGCCATTATTTTTTCCTTGTCATCACCAGGTGGCGCTGTTTGTATTACAGAAATGCATGAAGTATGGTTCTGATTGGCCGCTGGTGTTGTGCACAGAAAGAGAGGTGTATGAGCAGATCATGTAAAGAGTGTGTTCAGTTGTGACATATTCAACATGGACTAGTTTTTGTTTACAGGTTAAGGATGTAAAGAGGTTATATGTGCACACAAACGTCTATTTACCTCATTTCTAGTGCAGAAATATCTCATTATATCAAATATCTCAGCTTGTTATTATCCACAGTTTTCTGAGAAGTCCAGATACACATCACTTAAGATAAAAAAAATCACAAAGATACGATCTGAACTGCTTCTAAAAAGTAAAAATAGTGGCAGAAGCACGTCTTACTCACGTCAGTGTGTGCAGGTTAGTGTCGCTTAAGTGGAGGACAAAATAAAAGTTGCTGAGAAATCCTTCCTGCATATTATCCCATCTGCTCTTTTGTAAAGCGTCTCGAGATAACACCTGTTTTAAAATGGGACCTAAATATCGCGGCTTGAAATGGGAGTCTCAAACTCACAGCAAACTTCAGATAATATCCCCGTCATCCGTCTAACTCTGACTCCTGGAACTATTTTTGACCTGTGTTCAATATTTTATAATATATTTAGTCAGGTGACCCGTCACCTGGTTTCTCTTCCTTCTTGTTGATCTCCAGACTGCAGCTCGATCTGCCTGAACCTCGTCAGCTGAGAGCCACATGTTAGTCCTCTTTTCAATATCAACAAATCCGCTCAAACATGCCAAGCTGTTTTGATGGATGTTATTATGATGTCACCAGCCTGGTGCTGTTTTCATTCCCCTCACCCCGTGCCCCCCCTCCCGCCATGAAACTAAAAGTTCTGTAAACACGGAAAAAAAGGATTCAGACATTTATGATTTATCTCAGCTGGGTGTGACGCTCGGGGGACAGAGGACTTATAGGACTTATTAGAAGCAGCGAGCTAGCTTCAGGCTAAAGGCATGGCGACATGACACAACAGGAGGGCGAAAGCAAGATGGCCGACTAATCCGTACAGTGGACGAAACGAGTGATATAAGAAAATGTGACAACAACAACTCTGGCAGAGCTAATAATATCTATTTTGTTGGAGGGAACACAGAGGGAACAGTGCAAGCAGGGAGAGTTTTTTAAAGAGACAGAATGATAGAAAGAGAAGACGGCGAGGTCGTACCAGCATAGCGAAGACGTATTTCTGGTCTTTTTCTTGAAGAAAGACGAAGCTGTCTGATAGGAGCAGAGCGTGGACATCTGGAGACGAGCCAGGAGACACAGAGTTATGGTTAGATGTCTCATTATTTTAAATATTCATATTAAACGCTTTGGGGAGTCTCCTCACCTTTCAGTCTCCCCTGGCTGTTCTTCAGCTGCAGCACGCCGTCGTGGATCAGCCTCCTCCTCAGAAGATCCTCCCGGGCGAAGATCTGACCGCTCTTCATCATCATGATGGACTTGCTGTCCGTGCGGACGTGAAACTCCTTCAGGCGCTTCCTCTTGTCGTGCTCGTTCACTTTGCTGTCGACCGACGCGATCACCTCCTTCACCAGCCGCACGGCGTCCGTCAGGTCGTCGAAGTCTTCCTCGCTCTCTGTGTTTGACAACAAGCGATGAGAGAGGTCAGACAGACGACAGAAAAACACTTACTCCACACCTGATCACCAATGAAATCGTAGTAAAATTCATTTTAAGAAGTCAAAGATTTTAGAGGTTTTCTGTCGATGCAGGTGAAACCAAAAGAAGCTAAAAGCGGGCACAAGTCCGTTTAGTGTCCAAACCGACAGATTCGAACCAGCTGTGTGGAGCAGCACAGCTGAGGAGGTGTTTGCACGCAGCAGAAGGTGGACTTACATGTGTGCATTTCATAACAAATGATTAACTTCAAATAAAATCAGACAAACTGTTTCCCCTCAATGCAGTCTTTATGCTAAGCTAAGCTAAGCTAACCAGCTGCTGACTTTATATTAAATGGATGCATAAGAAGATTGATCCTCCTTTCACGTCGTTCCTGGAGTCGTAGTTGTTTTTCTCTCAGCCTCTTTAGCATCTTTAGCTGCTCATGCTAACCATGTGACTCATTTAGTTATCGTAAACTAAGTGTCAGGTCAAAATATTGACCATAGTTGAAAGTTAAAAAGACGTGTAACAGTCAGATTATGGTTGTAGTACCACAAGGCGCCACAAGGTGTTGCCTCTGTTGTGTTTTGAGTGTGTGATCTCTGACAGCCATCTTGTAGAGTGTGTGAGAGGGCGCTAACCTTTACTTACTGCTCATGTATGATCAGTGAATGTAGCGCCGTAGAGACCTGGCGTTGTGTTATATTAAGTAATGTAGAATAAACATGCCGTGTGGAAATCCTCACTCTGTTGTCTGTCAACTATCTGATGCTAACCCGCTATCCCGGGACGTATGCTAACTGCTACCTGCCGTTAGCTTCTCCACCTGCCATGTTACAGACTTCAAGAGTTTACCCTCCTAATTACTGCTTATTGATAGTAAGTTAGCAAGTTATTGTTCATGAATTATGATCTTAATATGCTTTACTTACTCCTTACTCTTATCTTATCGGGGCCGAACTAAGCAAAGCACATTAAGATCATGAAAGAGTCTCTAATGTTTGAATCACAAGCTTTAACTTAAAGTGCAAAACATTTATATACACTCCCAGAATGTAAGTGAGAGTAGCAAACACACCAACACACGACTAAAGTCTGCAGGTCAGCTGCTAGCTTGTTCAAGGCTTTATGCTAAGCTAACAGCCCCTCTTAATATCAGTCTTTAAGAGTCCGGTGTGTTCTGCAGTCACTAAATTTGTTCGGTTTTTATGCCGTTTATGTGTGAAATTAGCCTCTGTGACTTAAACGACTTGATTTCTGAGAACGCAGTGGAGGTTGTCAACTTTTGGAGTGGATTAGGGCGATGTTAGTAATCACGGGGGGGCGTCTCAATAACTTTCTACTCTGCACGATTTCACCCTTTCAATCCTCCATCATTTTCTGTCTCCACAGCCGACAACAGAAAACAGGAAAAAGGTCGACCCGCCTAAAAACAAGCCCGACTTTATCAGCCCTCAACATCAAGATAAGCACTTCATTATAACTAATTAGCGGCTAGTATGCTTATTAGCATGCTAATTTTCATGCTAATGGTGAATATTGTGACCTAAATGTTGTCTGTGCCTCTGATTTACATTCACTGAGAGTCGTCTGGTTCTGACTGAATGAAAGTGAAATATTTCTCTCCTGTGCTTCGTGTTCTTCGGAGCTCCTGAGCACCTAAAGACTCCTTCAAACCGGTGACAGCGCCGTGTTATTTCCACTCAGTACTCTCAGTATATCACAGTTGGCAGGAGAGAGTCTTCTTTAAGCACCTTGGGGATTAAGTCGCAGCTCCCTCGTCCCACATAGAACTATAAACAGGCTTTGGGGAAGGATTAGAGAGACAGTACACAGTGGGAGGCCGGCTGACGAGAGCTGCTTTGAATCAGATAGAAACATGTTCGGGAAAAAAATATTTCAGCTCCCACTAAGTAAGCTCGACCTATTATTCAGGAAATGTATGTATACTTTTTCTACAGAATGTGTGAAACTGTGAGTGAAAGAGTCGACTTTTCAGGAGATGTATGAACTCAGTGTGAGTGAAGAAGGCTGCAGAGGGTCGTCACGATGTCAGAACTTTAACCTTCAATATGATATCAGTAATAATTTACTGTTGTGATACCAAGGCTTCAAAATAAAAGTCCTAGGCAACCAACATCCGATCGTTTCTTGATCTAATTACAGAACATAGCAAGCAAACTCCTACAGAGTCAGAACTGCAAATAATGTTGCCAATGTTTTTGTGTAATTTAGACAGTGGCACCTCCTCTTTTCTCGGTTTGTTACAGACATCAACGTCAAGTTTGTGTCTTCAAAAGGCGCCAAAAGGACTTTAGAAACATCAGTTTAGCCTACTTGTGAATTTAAAAGGACCACCTCTCCGCTCTCTCTCTCTCTCCTAATAGGTTGATACTATTGATCATTCAAATTCTTCAATTAATTTATCACACAACAAACAGCTTCAAGTTTAATTGGACACACAGAGGTGCTGACAGGAAGTGACCAGAGGTGCTGACAGGAAGTGACCAGAGTCAGAGCACAACATCGACAGCTGTTCTTTAGAGTTCTAATCAGCATCAAAACCATCCTAAACATCATCATCTTCATCATCATGAAGGTCGTAGGTGTTCATAAAGAGCTGGGTCTTTAGCTTTTTCTTAAAGGTGCAGAGGGACTCTGCAGATGGAGTTTAGTTCATTCCACCACCGGGGGGCGACAGAGGAGAAGAGTCTAGTTAGAGACTTAGGACCCTGTTGTGAAGGTTGGATCAGACGCCTTTCAAAAATAACGGTTGCACCAACCTTCTTCTAGTTTCATGTTATTGTGTATAATCATTAAAACACGGACGACCAATGAGAAGAGGCTGGCGTGACGCTAACCTTTCGTGTGCTGAAGCATTCTCTGAATCAGCACCGGGTACTTCGTTATCCTCTGGGTCACCAGCAAGATGCATTCTGGGATACCGAGCCGCCGCACGATGCTGCTACTCATCTTTTTCTGGAAGATAAAAACAAAAAAGACAAGGTTTGAAAATCTAACGGGGGAAAGATTGAAAGTGTTTTTTCTGAAGGACTACACAGTGATAATACTCGAGACTGTGTTCGCTGTGATTATTACAGATGTTACTGTTTCACAGGTGGAGAGAGGTACAGAAGCAAAACAAAACAAAAAGCTTCAAGGGTCACAGCTTTTATACAAATCATTTCAATTCATGCAAAAAACAAAAAGAACAGTATGTTTGTTAGGCATCTGGAACACCGGACCGCTTCAAGTCAGTCGTGCAGTAAAAAGAGAGAAGACAAAAGCCCCTCCTCCATATTATCAAACTCCTGTCGGGGAAATATCTGAAGCTCACTTTGATGAAGGCCTTGAAGCGTTTGTCTTTGGTCAGTAGGTCCTTGTAAAGGTTCACCGCCTCGTTGTGCCGGCTGCAGAATCGGCCATAAACCCTCTTCATATTCTCGCCGTGGGATCCTGAGAACTGGAACAAAAAATGAACAGGCATGAAGATTTCAGAGCAAACACTGTGTTAGCAGAGCAGAAGCATGTTAGCTGGGAATGCTAACACTGGGATCTGAGTTCCTGAGTACTTGTAGAGCAGGACATTAAGATGGGAAGGAAGTACTTCACCCCACACCTCACAGACTAAATGGACAGTTGACCACCTCACAGTGCAATACAAGTGTGCAATATTAACCTTAAAAACAAATAACAGTGTCATTATATAATGTGAGAAATATGTGTGCAATAACCTGAGGTGCAATAAGAGATGTAGAAAGTGGAGACAAGAAAACAGATTTATATTTTCATTTCATTGTACAGTGTTCCATTTGTTATTCTTTTTGTATTATATCTTTAATACGGTGTATAGCTTCTGTACAGTTTGTTTTAAGTTACTTAGCTGTTACTACAACTTGTTAATTTTTAAATTTTATTTGTACTTTTCTACTCTTTTTTTCTATTTTATATATAATTTTAACTTTTTTGTAGAAGCTGACTCAGGGAGAAACGGGAGTCCAATGTTCCTGTCCTGTACCTGTGCAAATGGCAATAAACATCTATTCTATTCTGTTTTTTTAAAGATTTATTTTTTGGCTTTTTGTGCCTTTATTGTAGAGACAGGACAGTGGATAGAATTGGAAATCAGGGAGAGAGAGAGAGAGGGGAATGACATGCAGGAAAGGAGCCACAGGTTGGATTCAAACCTGGGCCGCCCACTTGGAGGACTACAGCCTCCATACATGGGGCGCGCGCACTAACCACTGTGCCACCGCACCACCAGCGCCCCCTGAGTTCCTGTTTTAACTCTGAATCTGAGTGCAGCACTGACCACTATACGAGTGTTCAACTCATAGAACATGTGACTTTATAATTCAGCAGGATGAAGCAGATCCTCAAACACTCAGACTACGAGTCAAGCATGGAGCCGTTCTGCAGCAGGAGCCCGTCCCCGCTCCGTACCTGGTTGACGAGGATGTCTCCTATCCTGTTGATGACGAAGCCCCCCTCAGAGCTCCCCGCCTCCAGCTGGCTCTCCCTCTTCCTATCCAGGAGGCGCAGGAGGTGCTGCGTGTGGAAGTCCAGGAGCTCATCCAGAACGGGGAACAGCCTCTCCAGCGTCTGCAGGTCCAGCTGCACCTCCTTCTGCAGGCCCTTGCTGTAGACCTCCGACATGATGCGCAGCGTCCGGATGTGATGCATCTCCGTCTGCATCAGCTCTGAAGAACGAAACAAAGAAAGAAAGTGATCGATGCATGCATTTAAATCTTCCACAGAGGTGTTAGACGAGCTTCAGAGAAGTCAGAACATGAATGTGTCCTTCACTGCAAAATCTTTTAGAAATATTTTCTTTTTTCAGAATCTCTTCACTCTATTTATTTTTCACAACAAGCGTCCGATTTAAAGCCAGCGACATCCCAAGGCCTCTCAAAGCCAACAGGATGTTTCTCAATAGAAGCTCTGAAAAAACGATGTCACTGAAACATACTGAAAGCATCAAGGCTGCATCCCACTCCTGTTCTTCTTTACGCCTCCTTTAACCAGCTGTACAGAGAACTACCTTCAATCGTTTTTATGAAGTCATAGAAATATAAAAGACCTCAACGAGGCTCTTATAATCAAACTGATCTTATATAAAATCATGATTCAGGGTTTATTACCGTATATGACGTCTTGTCTCTTCACCAGCTCTTTGTCCAGCTGCTGCAGGTACTGAGGCTCCGCTCCAAAACTCCACGAGTCCGACTCCAGGTCCTTGGCGTCGGCCTCGAACTCGCCCATCAGCTGCCCGTCCATCATCTCCGTCCCTGCATCGTCAACACGGCTCAAACTTACAACTTCATACTCACTCCATATCGTGTCGGGTTCATCCCGAGCGACTCTAGAGTCTGATGGGGCACGAGGCAAATGTTCATTCTGGGCCGTCCCACCAGCATGAATGCTGAGAGTGAATGATGTCAAACAGGGCCCCCTTAGGGAGGCTTCCTACTGTCAGTGCAAAAATTTGGGTTTGTTTATGTTCTCGGAGAGAAATTTTGGGTTGCTGCTTTGGTTCAAAGACAGAACTGTGGTGTGTGTGTGTGTGTGTGTGTGTGTGTGTGTGTGTGGTGTGTGTGGTGTGTGTGGTGTGTGTGTGTGTGTGTGTGTGTGTGTGTGTGTGTGTGTGTGTGTGTGTGTGTGTGTAAGTGTGGGATGTGTGTGTGATGTGTGTGTGATGCGTGTGTGATGTGTGTGTGATGTGTGTGTGTGTGTGTGTGTGTGTGTGTGTGCGTGATGTGTGTGTGATGTGTGTGTGATGCGTGTGTGATGTGTGTGTGATGTGTGTGTGATGCGTGTGTGATGTGTGTGTGATGTGTGTGTGATGTGTGAGTGATGTGTGTGTGTGTGTGTGTGTGTGTGTGATGTGTGTGTGATGTGTGTGTGATGTGTGTGTGATGCGTGTGTGATGTGTGTGTGTGTGTGTGTGTGTGTGTGTGTGTGTGATGTGTGAGTGATGTGTGTGTGATGTGTGTGTGATGCGTGTGTGATGTGTGTGTGATGTGTGTGGTGTGTGTGTGTGTGTGTGTGTGTGTGTGTGTGTGTGTGTGTGATGTGTGTGTGATGTGTGTGTGATGCGTGTGTGATGTGTGTGTGATGTGTGTGTGTGTGTGAGTGTAAGTGTGTGATGTGTGTGTGATGTGTGTGTGATGTGTGTGTGATGTGTGTGTGTGTGTGTGTGTGTGTGTGTGTGTGTGATGTGTGAGTGATGTGTGTGTGATGCGTGTGTGATGTGTGTGTGATGTGTGTGTGTGTGTGAGTGTAAGTGTGTGATGTGTGTGTGATGTGTGTGTGATGTGTGTGTGTGTGTGTGTGTGTGTGTGTGTGTGTGTGTGTGATGTGTGTGTGATGTGTGTGTGATGTGTGTGTGATGTGTGTGTGAGTGATGTGTGTGTATATTGACCTTCGTCGGTGAGTGACTCCATGGACTCGGTGACCTGGTTGTTTCTGTTCAGAGAGTCGGTCGACTGAGAGAGATACCGCAGACCTTTGATGGGCATGTCGTCAAACACCGGGCTGAACGGAGGAATGTATAGTTAATGTTACAGCAGTACACACACACACACACACACCACACTCACTCACACACACACACACACACACACACACACACACACACACACACACACACACACACACACACACACACACACACACACACACACACACACACACACACACACACACACACACACACACACACACACACACACACACACACACACACACACACACACACACACACACACACACACACACACACACACACACACACAGGGCTCACCCGGCGATGTTGCTGATGGAGAGACTCTTGGAGAGGTTGTTGCCATGGAAATTCATGATGCTGGTGTGTCTCCGTGACGACGGGATCATCAGGGACGAGTGGTCTTCAGGGGACAAGATGGCCGACCAGGGACGCTCCCTCGCCCCTCCAGCTGCGGACACAAACAGGACAGGATGTGAAGACTCTGTACTCTCATGAGGGGACACTTTCTCATTTCAAAAACTCTGACTGAAAAAAGCTGCGTCAGGATTGAACTTCTACTCTTCAAGCGTCCTGACTCAGAGATCGTTCTTCTGCCGACCTTCTGCTACGAGATTTTATCAAGTTATTTATTTTTCATAAAAAAACGAGCTTCACAGCCAAACTGTTTTAAAAACCGTCCAGTCTGAGTGGAAGGAGGATCTGTGTTAGGATGCCAAAACTTGAAACTCTCGTCTGTTTGTAACCATGGAGACAACGTTTGAATGTTTCTCAACTCTGCACTCGCTTCTTTTCTGATCACTGCACAACATCCTCTAGTGCACACTCTCTGTATTTCCTCTCCTGCTCAGAATCTGTGAATTTGAGCGAGCCCCGTCCTCTTCTCATCGATGTACCAGTAAGGCCTCGTCCACACATAGGAGGGGATTCTTTTTAAACAGAATCCGGTCCACACACGTCCAGTTCCCTAAAACATCTTTGTCCCCATGAAAACTCAAAAACATCGATGTCCTTGACATGCAAAAATGTTCTCGTCCAATCAGGTCGTTTCTGCTCGTCCACATAGCAGGAGAGTACCTGTGTGTGTGTGTGTGTGAGCATGTAAAAAGTCCAGTCAGCATCGTTAGCACCAGCGCTAGTTTGGTTACATCTGCCATCGCTCTAATCTCATGTCAACAAAAGTGACAGCGTCGCATGACTGACGGAGGAGAAACCGGCGCACAGCGTTTTCCTCGTCTCCACAGAAACATCTTAAACAGAGTTTGTGAACATCTTCACCCTGGAGGGAGTTTCTGTGAGGGAGAGTTTGAAGTGACCTGAAAACGCTTTTTGTGTACGAAAAGGTCAAAACACAGAAAAAGCTGTTTCAAAAGTACCCGCCTACGCCTCAGATTGACCAAAATGTGGATCCTTTTGGATTCCATATATTTCTAAAACACTAGAATCTCTGTTATTTTACTGATCCATAGTAAAGAGAAGAATCGAAGATTTAAAAAAAAAAAGAACTGAAGGTTTTAACATTTTAAACCTAAAGCAGCCACAAGAGAAAAAGAGAGAACAGCTGTTACACGTAAACAAACACTGATGTTCTTTAGTTTCTTGTGCAAAAGTCTCTTTAAATAAACAGAGAGCAGCTGAGGTGATGGCGTCCACATTGCACACACACTCTGAATCTGTACTGAGGATGGATTTGTGCAGGAGTTCTCAAACAGAAACAAGATATGAGCTGACACTCGGCGCCTAAGGCTTGTTGAGGTATCGAGACAGGTATCATTATTATCTGATTTCTACGAGTATCATATGAAAGTTTTAAAGTTCTGGTGTCGATACAACTTTATGTGAGAGTAAATGAATCTGAAGGGGGAAAGACAGGAAATGGAGATTTGAAGAAGTTGTGTTTGACACTCACTTTTGTTCCTCATGGTGACTGTAGGAAACGAGCCCGAGTCTGGAACCGCAGACTGCTGTTTGGGCAGCTAGCCAGAGAGAAAAGAGAGAATAAAAAGCATATAAAGAGGCGCTCAAATCAATGTCGGCTGCAGGAGAACAGAAAACTGTGCAGGATATGAGAGGTCGGAGTCGCTCTGAGGGAGAGGGAGAACTTTTTACCTTCATCTTCACCTTGGCACAAACGGGCAGGCCGTCCCTGCAGCTCTTGTGGACGGAAACATTACAGTCTGGAAACAAAAAAAAAACAGACTGTCAGTGAATACTGTGAGCATGGGGGCGGAGGTGATGAGGGGGAGGGGAGGGGGGCAAGAAATTCTGACTGGTTTTCATAGCCGGCCAGGAAACTCCACCAGCCCGCTAATGAAAGCCAGACTGGAGCTGAGCATGTGATGCAATCGAGGGGTAACACTGCTGCTGGACGGAGGAGGGGAAAAAAGAGAGAACGGCTGGGGAACAACACACACACACACACACACACACACACACACACACACACACACACACACACACGATGGAGCGCATGGGAAAATGACTATTACATAAACATTCCCAAATCACTATTCAGGAAGAAGGGTCACCAGCAAAGATTGCTCAAATGTGCTCTGTGATGTGTCGGCGTCGAGTCAATCGAAGAGAGATCATTCTGTACTTTGTATTTTCGAGCTGCACAAATCGTTTCATGAGAGTCGACTTTGAAGCAGCACGCCGTCACGTTTATTGACAACATGCGTCTAAATCGAGGTTGCACGGCGAGTCTGTACAGAAGCGTGTGTTGCACAAACCGAACAAAAAAAAAACCACAAACCCAACCATCGACCTCGTCATCCAGATTTCCTGTTCGGATTACATCAACGCCATGAAGCTCACAGTAAGAGTGAGAAAATAAATCCTGTTTAACTCAACGAGAACAGAGAGGCAGCAGAACTCTTTTTTTATTTTCACTTCCACCTCTGCCCAGAAATCTTTTACTGTAAAACAAAAAGGGGAAAGGAATCCGGCTGGTCCATTATGTAATATATCTCTAATTGTGACTCTAGCAGCAAAGCCAGATGAAATTCCTGCAGTGTTTTTTCCCACTCTAAAGTGGTTTTATTGGGTATTTTACTGCTTCTCGTGGACGTCTAACTAATTCCAGCTAATCTCAGACAAAGAGATCCCTGTGTGTGTGTCTGTTGAATGGACAGCAGCCAGACATCTGTGAGTACAAAAAAACCTCTGGAAAAAAACAACAACACTCCCAACAATTCAAAACCAGAGCAGCTGAACACAACAGGGACTGTTTCCCCCGTCTCAAGTGTTCGAGGCAGATTGTGAGTATTGCTGTGAGCTGGTTTCTCCTTTTTAGGCTTTTTTTCTGGACTCTCGCCAAAAACTTGTGCAATAAACGACATCCTCTTCAGAGCCGCCGCTGCTGCTGCTTCAGTGGAAAACGATGCAAAACAAGAAAAGAAGTTTCACTACTTCAAACAGATCATGAAGCCTCGTCTACTAAGTCTGCACGGCTCCAAGTCTTTTTTAACATGTGCAACATTGTCATTGTCTGTGCTTAAGTCAAACTCTTTAAAATAACATTTAGTGATAAATCCTGGTTCCACTTTGAGCAAGCAGCAGCAGATCTGGAGGAAACTGCTTTTAGTGTTAGTGCTGCAAACTCCTGGAATATTTTACAACAGGACCTGAACTTGAGCACTTTTATCCCTTATGGATACTTTTAGACATATTATTTTTAACCGCCCAATACCTGACTGTAACTATTTTATTTGATTTTAATTACTGACTTATCACTGTAGTCATTTCAAAATTTTAAATTATTTGAATGTATATATTTTATTGTTCTTATTGCTCTTTTATTGATTTTATTTTCTGTAGTAGCTTTATCTCATTTCTCGTTGTTTATCATTTATGTATTGTAAATGATGGTCACCCTCAATGATCTCTCCGAGAACATAAACAAAGGTTGATAATGAGATGATGAAAAATGAAGCCGCTGCAGTTCCTGGAGTGTCCTTTTGGGGCTGGCTCCATTAGAGCCTGTTGCCTGATATTACATCATCAGCCTCTAAAGCCTCTTTACAGAGGTTTAGATTTGATGGAGGCTAAAGCCCTGAGCATACTCGCTTTAACTACACGTCATGAACCCATGATCGATATCCTGCGTTGGTTTGGAGCGTTGGTTGTGCACGTCCTCAGAAATCAATGCTATGCGTCCACGAGATGCATATAACCACTAGGAGCAGCGCAGGGTTGACTGCTGATGATACAGGAAGTGACATCATCAGAGACACCAGAGAGCCGCTACAACAGTCGCAGAAGTCCGCAACTTTGCAGCGTTGTTTACATTACACCGAGCAAATCCAGAATCTCTTCTTCAGGGTTTTTCATGGTCTGATTTACGCGATGCTCCCTCTAGAGGATTCCTCCAGTAACACATTAACAAGTGTGTGAACATTTACGTTCACGACGCAGCCAGTTTTCAACGCGAGCGCGTGGTTCAAACTTAAGCATATTTGAGCCTTAAGAGTTATTCCTAAATTTGCATAATTAGAGGTGTGGCTTATTTGACTGACAGGCAGGTCTGTTGTAGCTGATCGCAAAGAGGCCATCCTATTACTGAGCTCCAAATGTCGGCTTTGCTTGTTTTGTTTTTTATCGTTTGGAGTATGCTCGCTAGGTGATGAGCGAGACAAACCGAGATATTCATTAAGCTCCGCCTCTTTTTGTCTGCTTCTCAAAAAGCCTGAACTTAGATGGAGTCAACATTTCCAATATGGTGACCGCCATCGTAGGGCTTCATAACACCGCTTCAGATATCAACGGGTGACCTCACTGAGAGACTACGTCCATGTTTTATACAGACCATGGTACTGAGGGAGCCTTCACAATAAGAGCCCCTTTAATTCTGTTATTTAGAAAAGGGGCAGGTATTATAAGTTTTCTTCTTCCTGCTCCTGTTTGTTTATGGACAGTGTGGGTTATATTTTGTGGGAACCGAAACACTGAAATTAGCAAATAAATCAAATATGAAAAAATGAAAAATATGAAATACTGACACACTTAACCGGCTTGTATTAGTCTTAGAGTCCTGATCAGACAAACTCTTACTTGTACAGTGGAATCCCCCCTTGCTGTTGAAGGCTTTACTGCACTGGGAACACTGGGCGGTGGGGCCCAAGATGACTGCTGTGAAAAGATGACCATTAGTCGCCTTCTTGTCTTTCTCCTTGCCCTCCTTCTCTTTCTCCCTCTTGTCGCGCTCCTTTTCCTGCACAGGAGAAGAGAGTGAGTTACGTTCAAGATCAATAATTAGTCGAACATTTTAAACAAGCTGACAAGAAGTTTAGAAAAACATTCCTGCGGCGCAGACAAACGTGGCTACAAGACTCGTCAGTCGTTTGTGTTTTGTTCCAATCTGAATCCAGCAGAGCGACATTATTACTCTGATGTGCTGCACCGCAGGAGGCCGTGCATATTAAGTGATGCATTATTTATGCTGACAGCAAATTGTCTCATTAGGAGACTGTTTTAAATGTGTCGCTGTAAAGCTTCTTTTTAAAGACAATGTTCTTCTTTAGAGAGAGAGTTAAGAGGTTTGTGATGCTGGCAGAGCAGTTAGTCGATCCTTATTGATGCCTCGTGTTTTAAAGCCATATCTGGTATTTTAAAGGTTGCATCAGACCCGAAGCTGTAGAAAAACCTAAATAAACGTACAAATACTTTGTGCGTATCGCTTTTATTTCAGTTGGTTGTTTGGAAACAGCAACAGATCTCGTTTAAAGGTGACATATCCTCCTCCTCCTCTTCAGTTTAAATAAGTCTCAGAGCTCCTCAAAACATGTGTGAAGTTTCTTGTTCTAAATCCACTCTGATCCTGTATTTGATCATGTCTATAAACCCCTCTATTTCAGCCCTGCTCAGAACAGGCTGTTTCTGTGTCTGTACCTTTAAATATGTAAATGAGCTGTGTCTGACCACGCCCCCTCTCTGGAAGGGCTTGGGTGTCTCACTCTTTCTCGCTCCATGTCCTATTGTTTACGGTGAGGGCAGAACAAACACCTAGCTGTTTCTTATTTTGAACATGATCAATTATTACATATAATAAACTGCAGGGATATGTTGGTAACGTTAAGGTGCTGAAACATTTCCAGATCTACAATCCCAGCTGGTAGTCCATGACAACAGTCACCAAGTAAACGGAAACATTCAATCATGACATGGTGTCCTTTATGAGAAACCATCTCCTGATGAATGAGCAGCGAGGGCTCAAACACACTCGACTCCAGTCGGAGACGTGCTGTCTGGGAATCAAAGCTGTGACCTTTCCGTTACAGGGCCGTCTTTCTGCTCCCTCCATCGTTCCTGGACGAGGTCATCCTCAGCTGTTTGGTCATCTCTGCACACTGAGCTCAATCACAATCCTCATAAAGCCACGCCGAGAAGAACAGAGTGCTCATTCTCTTGGATTTGCATCACAGAGCCTCCACCCAAACCCAGAGGAAATGGGAACATAGAGTTTCCAGCTCCTTTTTTAATAGCCGGCCCCGGGGCCTCTCGGGTTTGACGGGACCACAAAGCTCTGACGTACTCCAGCTCATTTTGTTTTTTCAGACGCGTCGAGATACCATGAGGCTGACTGGACCACAGCAAGCTGCCTTTTTTTTTTAATAGACATTACAACACTTTGCTTTCTCACTTCCTGCAACAAACAGCAACTGAAGGTGAAACAAATCAACCAAAAGTCTCTGAGCAGGAGGCCTGATGAAGTATTCTTCACCACATCACAGTCCTAGTTGGATATGACACCTGCAGATATATAAACTAAACACTGACAGTCACACTTAGAAACAAAACACAAGTATGAAATGAAGTCATCTGGCTTCAACAGGAGCAGAAATAGCTTGTGACATCCGAACCCGAGCTTGAAACAAAAAGAGACACTGGGCTGTGTAAGCGAGGATGACTTCAGTGGAAAAAAGACATCAGCCCTGAGGGGAGCACACAGCTTCTCTTTAAACATGATATTGTGACAGTCCTTTCACTACAATTACACCAGAGAGCTACCGTTAGCCTACCTCCAGCCAGCCTTTCAATCTCAGCGAGAAGCCGTGGCTCCCTGCAAATCTCCTGCACACCATCCCGAGGCGGCAGCCGAGCGGCTGGAGCTACGAGCGGCAACTGAGGCTCAGTCAGGAACGCAGCAATGAGGAAGTGACTGCTTGCTACAGGACGTGCTATTACTGCAATGACCTTTCAGTCTGGTACAGGCGCTATGTCAAAACAGCACACTCTAGATCCTCTTCCAGACTCTGTGTCCACACTCACATCAAATACTCAGGACATTTAGATGCATTCTTTAAAGTTCTTTTGTTTCTCGTTGGGAGAAGAGAAGGCAGAGCTAGTCGTATCTAAAGAAGAGATGAGGTGTGTGTGTGCAGGCAGTGAGGTGTTGCCTCATGCAGTTTGGTTTCATTTCTCTGTCAGCCCTTTAAGATGATCTGTGTTTTTTAAAAAACCTCTGAGAGCTGCAGGTTGTGGGGGATCTGCTACAGAATCCTGTCACTTTAAAAGCAAAAAGATGACTGAGGTTCGAGATGAGATTATCAGACCACAGCCAGCTCTGTCTTCCTGTTTTACTTCCCCTTCACCCCTGTGTCGCCTTGCAAGAGCTGCACAAGAGCAACAGTCGAAGGGGCGCTGACACGAGGAAATCTGTACAGTGCCCGAGAACGTTTGTCAGTTTCATGATAATGAGAGACCTATGGACCTTTATAGAATAATATATTTCAACTTGAATCTTTTAAACTGATACCTGAAACAGGACTGATCGAACTCACACTGTCCTGACTCTGTGTCTGAAAACACGACGACCTTGGACCCCATTTCACACCTCACACACTCACCGGTTTGTGGCCAGAAAGATTGCAAAGCCACAACCCTGAGAAACAGTGCCCTGCCCTCGAGCAAGACATGCAACCCCCCAACTGTTGAGCTGCAGCGGCTCAGAGGCCGACAGAGGAGGACGCACAGGGCGGCTCTCAGTGTGACTCTGTGCTTTTCTAAAGTTCTGGATAAAACTAGTCTACATCGGCTTGTTTAAATATTTCAATGACAATAATATTCTTTATACACATCAGTATGGATTCAGAGAGAAACACTCGACGAGCCCCTCTGGCTTTCTTTGGCTCCTCCAGCACATTTCTTTCAAAATGTATGTTTTATTAATTAACTAATCATTATGTACTGTCTGTTTTTCCACTGATCTATTGTGTTTGTTTTGCTTTTTAAGTGCAATAAAAAAAATAAAAAAAATAAAAACAATGAAGACTCGGTTTTAAACTCGTCTTTGCAGCATTTTTATCGGCTGGTCTCACTGCAGCAAAGGAAGTGTTGGCACTGAGATGTCAACCGCCACATGGCGACATTGGGCCAACTCTCTTCTTGAGATCGTTCAGATGGAACGGTCTGTGGCCCGAATGCACGGGGCCCGCCTTAAGACCCTCAAAGCATACAATATAGTTAAAGACAGTGTGCGACATGCTTGACTAGAAATATGTTTTTATTTTCTATCTTTTCCTTGACAGATCCGGGGTGGGGATGTATGTGGGGTCTGCATGTGGTGGATGGCGGTGGGGTGCACATTTGCACTTCTATACATGTATGTGCTGCAGGGGGGTGGGGGGAAGAAAAGGGGAAAACATTTGTAATATTTGATGTCATTTCTTTGTACATTTCAAAATCACAACAAAAAAAAGGAAACAGAGACGCCAAGTCATTAGATATCTCACCCTGGTCTTTTTGTACATCTTATTCTTGAGGTAGCTGAAGGTCCGGCTGACTTTTGTCACGTTCTTCCCCTCAGTGTCGCTTCGCAGAGGGCCAGGTTCCTCCTCCGATATGCTGTCACACACACACACACACACAGATTCACATTTCATCCTCACACTGTTTACACTTTCTGAAAACAGTTTTCACACCTCTGTACAGGCTGTATTGAGAATCAGCTGCTCTGAACACTCTGAACACTGTTTCTTTAAAGGTCTATCAAAAGGTCCCAGCTACAGTCAAGATGTAAACACTTATATTTCAGGTAAAGTGCATGTGCAGAGTTTGACCTACCTGTATGCCAGAGATCCAGAGGCACTTGAAAACGACCTCATACCTGCAAGAAACGAGAGCAGAAGTGAGCAGCTGGAATTTGTTTGTCATCTCAGGTGGTTGAACATAAATGACCTCACTGACGCTGAACCTGGAGCTCCTGGAGTCTTAACTTTTAATCACACAACCGCAAGCTGAGTATTTGACTCCGAGCGCTACCACAATGCAGGTGACCTACACTCAGTATTGCACCTGAACACATCACAGCTCTGAGGCTGCTGCAGATTTCTCAGTGTGCAGATTCCTTTCTGTAAACAGGACGTTGTTACTTTCACTCTTGGCTGCAGAGATCCTCACACACACACACTCCTGTCCTTCATTTGTTTCCTTTAATGTCCCTGAGGAGAGTAGTCAACATCACCTGCTCTCGTGGAAGCCGTGTTCAGGCCAAAAATCTAAATGTTTCTGCCGCTGATGAGGGCAGCGAGTACTGAGACTAAAAGCTGAAGTATGACCTTTAACCCCCGGCCGATTATCGCAGCAAAAGAATCAAACACCATCACGGTGTTTCCACAGTGTCAGTACCACAGGAACAAAAAAAAAGTTCCCAACAGAAGTTCTGTTCAGATCGCAGCAAATTATATTTTGTCCTCCCCTGAAGCCTCATTAACACATTCTGAGTTACGATGTTTGAGGCTAGGCCGCTCTAAGATTTAAATCTGGATTTCCTGGCGTCACTGACGAACAAAATGAAGGAGGAATCCTTGAATGAATCTTGTACTTTGACGTCGTCTCACTTCCTGGTTGGTGGAAGATAAAGAAGGAATACTTCTTTTCACACCTTCTAACAACAACGTCTGTAACGTGATCTTCTGGTGTTTTTTTTTTTGCATGCCTGTGCTGAAGGCGACACAAAGGACACACGAGGGACACTAAAGGAAGACCTCACAGGTAGAAAAACACAGCTGAGTGTCTTTAAGTGGAGCTGACAGAGAAGAAGAATGAGGCGGGGGCGGGGGGGGGCGGGGATGTGATTGCTTTTTTTTTTTTTGTAACTCTTTCTCTGGTGATTGTGTTTCCTTATTGTGAAGAGACAAAAACAAAGACTAATCTAAGGGAAGGTCAGCTGCATGCTCCTCTGGGCTGGAAGACAAAGTCATGTTCTCTGTCCTCGCCGTGAGTTATAAAAAAACTAATTTCCTCTCGCGGGTTCAATAAAGTATAAATTATTATTATTAATTATTATTTATTTATTTATATATATATATATATATTTTTTTATTATTATTAAATGATTATTATTTTTTATTGATTTATTATTATCATTAAATGATTATTATTATTTATTAATTTATGTATTATTAAATTATTATTTATTTATTTATTGTTATATTATTATTGTTATTATTATTATTATTAAATGATTATTATTATTTATTAATGTATTTATTATTAAATTATTATTTATATATTTATTTATTGTTATATTATTATTATTATTATTATTATTATAAATACAAAGAAAGATGGCGTCCTACATCAACGACTCCACATTCACAAAGCAAGCGTCTGCATCAAAAATGAACCTGTGGGCTTGGTCGTTATGCACCATCATCATGTTCACTCTTCTAGACAGTCAGGACAGTGAGGACACACTCAGGGGAGGGGGGGGGGCAGTACTTTAAGGGGGTCTTTGGGGGTCTCTAACAGTAGCAGCTAGCGCTCTGACAGCCTCGCTCTACAGCAGCTACGTTCACTTCTCGTTACTTACTCAAGCTATCATCATCGCTAGACGAGGAGTCCCCGTAAACGAACTGAGACCTAGATTTGGTGATGATGGGGGAGAGGTTGAAAGAGAAGGAAATTCGCCTCTTACGTCTCAGACGTCCCACAGCTTTTTGGGGGGGGCGGGGGGGGAGGGGGGGGGAGCAGGAGGAAGGAAAGAATCACAGCAGGAACTGATTAAAGTGATTAAACCTCCGCTGATTAAAATTAAGTTAAAGACAGAATCATGATGTCAGAGGGCGTGCACGCTCACACAGGTGTGTCCACCTGAGGGGTTAGATCCTTAGATTTATTAGATTCTTAACCCTTCCTATCTCACAACTCGTCACTCACCATCAGTGTCTCTCTGGCTGATGGCGAGCATGGACACAGACTTGGTGAGGGGCAGGGACATGGGAGGACAGCTGTTCCGCAGAGGTCGATAGCGCCTCGTTTTCTGGAGCGAGAGAGAGAGAGAGAAGAAAAGGTGGAGTCAAGCACAGAGAAGGACAATCAAATCGATGATCATGAAAAAAAAGAGGACATGCTGAGGAGACGACAGGGAAACAGTTTATTAGCAGATGGAGAAACAGGAATAAAGTGATGGTGTGTGTATGTGTGTGTGTGTGTGTTGTGTGTGTGTGTGTGTGTGTGTGTGTGTGTCCTGACCGGGTCGTGCTCTCTGGTGTGCTCCCCCAGCTCCTCCTGCTCCTCTGTCAGAGACACCAGAGAGCCCCTGTCGTCACTGTCGTGCCGGGGCATCCTGAAGGGCTCCAGGATCCGGGGGACCCGGGTGGCGGGGCCTCTCAGCTCCTCCTGGGCCCCGCTGAGACCCTCCAGGCTGTAGCTGCAGAGACAAACAGGAAGCAGAGGTGAGGAAGAGGAAGAGGAGGGACGAGGCTTCATCACAGCTTTCATGTTACAGCTGCATCAAACACACGCACCTGTTGACACACACACACACACACACACACACACACACACACACACACACACACACACACACACACACACACACACACACCACACACACACACACACAACACACACACACACACACACACACACACACACACACACACACACACACACACACACACACACACACACACACACACACACAGAGTTTAGCCAGCTGACTTATCACCGGGCTCTGGAGCAGATTTACAGCTGAAGCGGCGGCGAGTGACTTCCAACATCAGCATCGAGAGCTCGGCCGCTGTGATTTACAAACCCAATTACAGGGATCTGAAAAAGAGGCCTGGAAGAATCCAATGCAACGATTATGGAGAGGAAAACTACAGCTACATTTCAGGATGAGCTATGCTACACAGCCGCAGCGCCGCTCGCTGCAGGACAGACTCGCTCCGGCACTAAATCTCTGTTATCTCCAGCCCCTCGGCTTCATACGGCGCTCTATTATCCGGCAAATCATCGGGCCAACGTTTAAACATTACTAACCTAAACTGAGCCAAAAAGAATCCTTTGAGACGATCAGGGACAGAGCAGCACTCACCAACCATCAACACAGACGACTCAACCCAGGATGTAAAGGCCTCTTGTCTCTGTTTCATTATTACACCCTAACATACACATCATACATGACTGACTGACTGACTGACTGACTGTCTGTCTGTCTGACTGACTGACTGACTGACTGACTGTCTGACTGACTGTCTGACTGACTGACTGTCTGACTGACTGACTGACTGACTGTCTGACTGACTGTCTGACTGACTGACTGACTGACTGTCTGACTGACTGTCTGACTGACTGACTGTCTGACTGTCTGACTGACTGTCTGACAGTCTGTCTGTCTGTCTGTCTGACTGACTGACTGACTGACTGACTGTCTGTCTGTCTGACTGACTGACTGACTGACTGTCTGACTGACTGTCTGACTGACTGTCTGACTGACTGACTGTCTGACTGACTGTCTGACTTCTGACTGTCTGTCTGACTGACTGACTGTCTGACTGTCTGACTGTCTGTCTGTCTGTCTGTCTGACTGACTGACTGTCTGTCTGTCTGACTGACTGACTGACTGTCTGACTGTCTGACTGACTGACTGTCTGACTGACTGTCTGACTGACTGTCTGTCTGACTGACTGACTGTCTGACTTACTGACTGTCTGACTGACTGACTGTCTGACTGTGTCTGACTGTCTGTCTGTCTGTCTGACTGACTGACTGACTGACTGTCTGACTGTCTGTCTGTCTGTCTGTCTGTCTGTCTGACTGTCTGACTGTCTGACTGACTGTCTGACTGACTGACTGACTGACTGACTGTCTGACTGTATTGACTAACTGACTGACTGACTGACTGACTGACTGACTGACTGACTGTCTGACTGACTGACTGACTGACTGACTGACTGACTGACTGTCTGACTGTCTGACTGACTGACTGACTGACTGTCTGACTGACTGTCTGACTGACTGACTGACTGACTGACTGTCTGACTGACTGACTGACTGTCTGACTGTACTGACTAACTGACTGACTGACTGACTGACTGACTGACTGACTGTACTGACTAACTGACTGACTGACTGACTGACTGTACTGACTAACTGACTGACTGACTGACTGACTGACTGTACTGACTAACTGACTGACTGACTGACTGACTGTCTGACTGACTGTCTGACTGACTGTCTGACTGACTGACTGACTGTACTGACTAACTGACTGACTGACTGACTGTCTGACTGACTGACTGACTGACTGTACTGACTAACTGACTGACTGAACTGACTAACTGACTGACTGACTGACTGACTGACTGTACTGACTGACTGACTGACTGACTGACTGACTGACTGTCTGACTGTACTGACTAACTGACTGACTGACTGACTGTCTGACTGACTGACTGTACTGACTAACTGACTGACTGACTGTACTGACTAACTGACTGACTGACTGACTAACTGACTGACTGACTGTCTGTCTGACTGACTGACTGTCTGACTGTCTGACTGACTGACTGACTGACTGACTGTCTGACTGACTGACGACTGTACTGACTAACTGACTGACTGACTGACTGTCTGACTGACCGACTGTACTGACTGACTGACTGACTGACTGACTGTCTGACTGACTGTCTGACTGACTGTCTGACTGACTGACTGACTGACTGTCTGACTGACTGTCTGACTGACTGTCTGACTTACTGACTGTCTGTCTGACTGACTGTCTGACTGTCTGACTGTCTGTCTGTCTGTCTGTCTGTCTGACTGACTGACTGTCTGTCTGTCTGACTGACTGACTGACTGTCTGTCTGACTGACTGACTGTCTGACTGTCTGACTGACTGACTGACTGACTGACTGTCTGACTGACTGACCGACTGTACTGACTAACTGACTGACTGACTGACTGTCTGACTGACCGACTGTACTGACTGACTGACTGACTGACTGACTGTCTGACTGACTGTCTGACTGACTGACTGTCTGACTGACTGACTGACTGACTGACTGACTGACTGTCTGACTGACTGACTGACTGTCTGACTGACTGTCTGACTGACTGTCTGACTGACTGTCTGTCTGTCTCACTGACTGACTGACTGTCTGACTGTACTGACTGACTGACTGTCTGACTGACTGACTGACTGACTGACTGACTGACTTACTGACTGTCTGACTGACTTACTGACTGTCTGTCTGACTGTCTGTCTGTCTCACTGACTGACTGACTGACTGACTGTACTGACTAACTGACTCTGTCTGTCTCACTGACTGACTGACTGACTGACTGTACTGACTAACTGACTGACTGACTGTACTGACTGACTGACTGTCTGACTGACTGACTGTACTGACTAACTGACTGACTGTCTGACTGACTGACTGTCTGACTGACTGTCTGACTGACTGACTGTACTGACTGACTGACTGACTGTCTGACTGACTGACTGACTGACTGACTGTCTGACTGACTGTATTGACTAACTGACTGACTGACTGTACTGACTGACTGACTGTCTGACTGACTGACTGACTGACTGACTGACTGACTGACTGTACTGACTAACTGACTGACTGACTGACTGTACTGACTAACTGACTGACTGACTGTCTGACTGACTGACTGACTGACTGACTGACTGACTGTCTGACTGACTGACCGACTGTACTGACTAACTGACTGACTGACTGACTGACTGTCTGACTGACTGTCTGACTGACTGACTGTACTGACTAACTGACTGACTGACTGACTGTCTGACTGACTGACTGTCTGACTGACTGACTGTCTGACTGTACTGACTAACTGACTGACTGACTGACTGTACTGACTAACTGACTGACTGACTGTCTGACTGACTGACTGACTGACTGTCTGACTGACTGACTGACCGACTGTACTGACTAACTGACTGACTGACTGACTGTCTGACTGACTGTCTGACTGACTGACTGTACTGACTAACTGACTGACTGACTGACTGTCTGACTGACTGACTGACTGACTGACTGACTGACTGTACTGACTAACTGACTGACTGACTGACTGACTGTACTGACTAACTGACTGACTGACTGACTGACTGACTGTCTGACTGACTGTCTGACTGACTGTCTGACTGACTGACTGACTGTACTGACTAACTGACTGACTGACTGACTGTCTGACTGACTGACTGACTGACTGACTGACTGTACTGACTAACTGACTGACTGACTGTACTGACTAACTGACTGACTGACTGACTGACTGACTGACTGTACTGACTAACTGACTGACTGTCTGACTGACTGTACTGACTAACTGACTGTACTGACTAACTGACTGACTGACTGACTGTACTGACTAACTGACTGACTGACTGTCTGACTGACTGTCTGACTGACTGACTGTCTGACTGACTGACCGACTGTACTGACTAACTGACTGACTGACTGACTGTCTGACTGACTGTACTGACTAACTGACTGACTGACTGACTGTCTGTCTGACTGACTGACTGTCTGTCTGACTGTCTGACTGTCTGACTGACTGACTGACTGTCTGACTGACTGTCTGACTGACTGACTGACTGACTGACTGACTGTCTGTCTGACTGACTGTCTGACTGTCTGACTGACTGACTGACTGACTGCTGACTGACTGACTGACTGTCTGACTGTCTGACTGACTGTCTGTGACTGACTGACTGTCTGACTGACTGACTGACTGTCTGTCTGACTGACTGTCTGACTGACTGACTGACTGACTGTCTGACTGACTGACTGACTGTCTGACTGTCTGACTGTCTGTCTGACTGACTGACTGACTGACTGACTGACTGACTGTCTGACTGACTGACTGACTGTCTTGTCTGACTGTGACTGACTGATGTCTGACTGACGTCTGACTGACGACTGTCTGACTACTGACTGACTGACTGACTGTCTGACTGACTGTACTGACTAACTGACTGACTGACTGACTGACTGTCTGACTGACTGTCTGACTGACTGACTGACTGACTGTCTGACTGACTGACTGACTGTCTGACTGTCTGACTGTCTGTCTGACTGACTGACTGACTGACTGACTGTCTGACTGTCTGACTGACTGACTGTCTGTCTGACTGACTGACTGTCTGACTGACTGTCTGACTGACTGACTGTACTGACTAACTGACTGACTGACTGACTGTCTGACTGACTGACTGACTGACTGTACTGACTAACTGACTGACTGACTGTACTGACTAACTGACTGACTGACTGACTGACTGACTGACTGTACTGACTGATTGACTGACTGACTGACTGACTGTCTGACTGACTGACCGACTGTACTGACTAACTGACTGACTGACTGACTGACTGACTGTATACTGAACTGACTGACTCCTGTACTGACTAACTGACTGACTGTACTGACTAACTGACTGACTGACTGTCTGACTGACTGACTGTCTGACTGACTGACTGACTGACTGACTGACTGACCGACTGTACTGACTAACTGACTGACTGACTGACTGACTGTCTGACTGACTGACTGTCTGACTGACTGACTGTACTGACTAACTGACTGACTGACTGACTGTCTGACTGACTGACTGTCTGACTGACTGACTGTCTGACTGTACTGACTAACTGACTGACTGACTGACTGACTGACTGTACTGACTAACTGACTGACTGACTGACTGTACTGACTAACTGACTGACTGACTGACTGACTGTCTGACTGACTGTCTGACTGTACTGACTAACTGACTGACTGACTGACTGTCTGACTGACTGACTGACTGACTGTACTGACTAACTGACTGACTGACTGTACTGACTAACTGACTGACTGACTGACTGACTGACTGACTGTACTGACTGACTGAGACTGACTGTCTGACTGACTGACCGACTGTACTGACTAACTGACTGACTGACTGTACTGACTAACTGACTGTACTGACTAACTGACTGACTGACTGACTGTACTGACTAACTGACTGACTGACTGTCTGACTGACTGTCTGACTGACTGACTGACTGACTGACTGACTGTACTGACTAACTGACTGACTGACTGTCTGACTGACTGTCTGACTGACTGTCTGACTGACTGACTGTCTGACTGTACTGACTAACTGACTGACTGACTGACTGACTGACTGTACTGACTAACTGACTGACTGACTGACTGTACTGACTAACTGACTGACTGACTGACTGACTGTCTGACTGACTGTCTGACTGACTGTCTGACTGACTGACTGACTGTACTGACTAACTGACTGACTGACTGACTGTCTGACTGACTGACTGACTGACTGTACTGACTAACTGACTGACTGACTGTACTGACTAACTGACTGACTGACTGACTGACTGACTGACTGTACTGACTGACTGACTGACTGACTGTCTGACTGACTGACCGACTGTACTGACTAACTGACTGACTGACTGTACTGACTAACTGACTGTACTGACTAACTGACTGACTGACTGACTGTACTGACTAACTGACTGACTGACTGTCTGACTGACTGTCTGACTGACTGACTGACTGACTGACTGACTGTCTGACTGACTGTCTGACTGACTGACTGACTGACTGACTGACTGTCTGTCTGACTGACTGACTGTCTGTCTGACTGACTGACTGACTGTCTGACTGACTGACTGACTGTCTGTCTGACTGACTGTCTGACTGACTGACTGACTGACTGTCTGACTGACTGACTGACTGTCTGACTGTCTGACTGTCTGACTGACTGACTGACTGACTGACTGTCTGTCTGTCTGACTGACTGTCTGACTGACTGTCTGACTGACTGACTGACTGTCTGACTGACTGACTGACTGACTGTCTGACTGACTGTCTGACTGACTGACTGACTGACTGACTGTCTGACTGACTGACTGTCTGACTGACTGTCTGACTGTCTGACTGACTGACTGTCTGTCTGACTGTCTGACTGACTGTCTGTCTGACTGACTGACTGTCTGACTGACTGTCTGACTGACTGACTGACTACATGCTGAGACGCACGTTCACCCTCAAAAAACGACAAATGCAAATCAAGCAGCAAGTAAATATGATTCAAAGTAGGTCATGTTCCAAAACATCTCACACACACACACACACACACACACACACACACACACACACACACACACACACACACACACACACACACACACACACACACACACACACACACACACACACACACACACACACACACACACACACACACACACACACACACACACACACACACACACACACACACACACACACACACACACACACCTCACGCCTCACGCCTCACGCCCTCCTGAAGCTCCCCTCAGTCACTTTGTGGAAGTAGCTAGTTCCCTCAGGTACAGCGTGTGTGTGTGTGTCTGTCTGTCTGTGTGTGTGTGTGTGTGTGTGTGTGTGTGTGTGTGTGTGTGTGTGTGTGTACAACTTTTTCACACGAACACTTAAAATAGTTTGAAGATCATTTCCTGTTGCAGTATTTTGGTGATCGCGAGCGCTGACAGGAAGTCAACATGTCAAAGTGACAGTCAGAGCAGCCGAGGTGACATGAAGAACAGCGAGGCCTGACAGGTCTCACAGCCAATCAGAGGCCGGTTGTTATTCACCGGCTACACAACGCTGAACTTAAGAGGAGCGATATTAGAAATGAGGCTGTGAGCATCATCCTACCCTATAGTGCACTCATTGTATCCCACAATGCATTGGGAAGAGTAGTCAACAACTGACTGTATATCCCATCATGCATTGCGGTTGACAGATTTTTTATTGCAGAGCAGAAAGTGGAGTTTTAATTCCTTTATTAAAAACATTCAAACATCTTCAGTTCAGTCGTCACGTTTGCTTTGACAGAGTTTGAGTGTTCATCTTATCTCAAGCTTTGTGAGAATGCTTCACACTGTTTACTGTTGGTTTGAACTTCCCAGCCACCGTAGTCTCCTGCTTTCACCGCTTTCTTCTCCTGAAGTCCAAACTTCCTCTGACGCCTCAACAAACTTTTTCTGTCCTCGATGACACACCCCCCTCTTCACCCATTGGCTGCCAGTTCTCACCACATCAATAAAAAGAAAACACCAGTAGGTGTCAGCCGTCTCTCTGCGGTAGTACATCTGACACTCCAGCAGGGGGAAAGAGAGCAGTAGTGAGCAGGGACGCAGCACAAAGCAGCAGGAGATCAACCAGCACACATTTATACCCCGAGGCCACGCCCTCGCTGGTCACCTAGCAACAAGTCAATCTTTCCAACGATCTGATGAATGTGATTCATGATTACCTTCTCCTGTGAAAGGTCAGCTTCCCTTCACCGTGGCTACAGACGGAGCTGCAGGTGATGGATGAGACAGACAGACGGGTGATGAGACAGACAGACGGGTGATGAGACAGACAGACAGGTGATGAGGTGATGGATGAGACAGACAGACGGGTGATGAGGTGATGGATGAGACAGACAGACGGGTGATGAGGTGATGGATGAGACAGACAGACGGGTGATGAGGTGATGGATGAGACAGACAGACGGGTGGTGAGGTGAGATGAGACAGACAGACGGGTGATGAGGTGAGATGAGACAGACAGACGGGTGATGAGGTGAGATGAGACAGACAGACGGGTGATGAGGTGATGGATGAGACAGACAGACGGGTGATGAGGTGATGGATGAGACAGACAGACGGGTGATGAGGTGATGGATGAGACAGACAGACGGGTGATGAGGTGATGGATGAGACAGACAGACGGGTGATGAGGTGATGGATGAGACAGACAGACGGGTGATGAGGTGATGGATGAGACAGACAGACGGGTGATGAGGTGATGGATGAGACAGACAGACGGGTGATGAGGTGATGGATGAGACAGACAGACGGGTGATGAGACAGACAGACGGGTGATGAGACAGACAGACAGGTGATGAGGTGATGGATGAGACAGACAGACGGGTGATGAGGTGATGGATGAGACAGACAGACGGGTGGTGAGGTGAGATGAGACAGACAGACGGGTGATGAGGTGAGATGAGACAGACAGACGGGTGATGAGGTGATGGATGAGACAGACAGACGGGTGATGAGGTGATGGATGAGACAGACAGACGGGTGATGAGGTGAGATGAGACAGACAGACGGGTGATGAGGTGATGGATGAGACAGACAGACGGGTGATGAGGTGATGGATGAGACAGACAGACGGGTGATGAGATGAGATGAGACAGACAGACGGGTGATGAGACAGACAGACGGGTGATGAGGTGATGGATGAGACAGACAGACGGGGAGGGCGGGTCAATACGGACATAATGAATGAAAGAATGAACTCTTGTATCTTGCCATCTTTTTCTCAGTGTGTTGGAGATCTTCAGGCACGATTAAAGCCCGCCCCCTCACACTGCAGGAGTTTTAACAGATCTTCTTCTACATAATCTCAAAAATGAACATAATGGAACTTCACAGACTACAGGATGTTACTTAGATTATCATGCCCGACGGAGGAACGCAATTAGGGTGAAGAAATATATCCGGGGGAGACGAGGACAACATCGGTTGTTCTCTTCAGACACACGACATCCTCCAGACCCTTTGAGTGACCCAATCACCAAGATTTTAAATTCCTAAAAATCAAACATGTTTGAAATAAATTGGGGCGTCTTCAACGTTCTCCGAGCAGAAGATAAGATTGGCTCTTTGTACGACTAAAACTACGACAGAAATTGGAGAAGATTTATAATCGTTTCCGAGCATCCTCGAGTCGGGAACATCACCGCGATTGTCGGGAAGGAATCGGACCTCAAATGGTCCTGATGATCCTGCAGTGTGACACCGGCTTAAGGCAGGTCTGTCTGTGACATCGTCATGTCGCAGAGTAAAAACAAAACATCGTGTGTTCAGGATAATCGTCTTAAAGGGACAGATTTAAGATTTTAATGACATTACTGATGCCAATTTTCACAATCTGCTGTACCGTCTTCAGAGGGAGTAACAGAGGCGTTACAGAGGAGAGACAGGATCAGCTGACAGCAGGGGAGCACAGCGCAGAGTGTGTGTGTGTGTGTGTGTGTGTGTGTGTGTGTGCATGTCTGACTGTGTGTGTGGAGCTTAAACGCAATGTGACCTCACACATTGGGAGAGATCACAACGACCTCGATCTTTGTCCTCTAACCTGCCGACTCTCACAGGTTCCTCTTTGAGTCTCTGTGATCCACTTACAGTGTGTGTCCATGGAGACATGAGCTAATCACACCTATTTGGTTTTTTGAACCAGGCTGTAAACATGTTCATCTCTGCTGTAAAAACAGGCTTTTTAGAATGGGTGTGTATGTGACTTCCTGTGCTTCTGCAGCCAGCCTCTAGTGGACACTCCAGGAACTGCAGGATTTTACACTTCAGCATCAGCTTCATGTTTAAACACCGGACGTTGCAGCTTAGTTTTAATGTGTTTTTTTAATGGTTGTTATCGTGTCTGAAACTCCTGCTTTGTGTACATCTTTCAGACCATCTGTTTTGTTCTTGAATTGAACGCTTATTGTTTTCCTCTTTAAAGCTTAAATCAAGCTGTGACAGTGTTGAATATAAGGAGATAATATGTAAACAAGCGTTGGTATAATAAGGTTAAGCTGCAGCGTGGTGATGGCAGGTTGGTATTTGATGTGTCATTTAACTTCTCTGTGTGTTTTTGCATGGAGGGAAATTTTTTAAATAAAGAGCTTAATAAACTCTTAACGACCAGAACGAGTAGTGAGTGTTAACTGATGACTGTCAGAACGAGTTTGTGCATCACATGTGTTAACACAGAAGCAGCAGACACATGGTAACACAGCTGCTCACAGCAGGAGGAGGAGGAGGAGGAAACATTCAACATGGCACAGAGGGAAAGAACTCAACAAGCTCTAAAAATCTGCACACATCAGACTAACACCAGCAAATACCACGATGAACCCAACGCCACCACAGCCTCCTCCTCAGTCTTACCTCCTCTGGTTCATCTCTGCGTCTCCTCCGTTGTTCTTTCCCGGACCCCAGCTGTGGCGCCGCAGAGGGGAGATGGACCGGTTGCTGTTCCTGAGGAGGCAGGAGCGCCGTGGCACCTCGCTCACTCTGTCTTTGGCCTCTTCTTCAGCGTCTCCCGCTCCACCACCGCCGCCGCTGTCCAGTCCTGCAGTGACAGTAGCCCCGGTCCGTACGCCCTCCTCCGGGCTCCAGCTGCATTCCAGACCCTGGCTGCCCTCGGGACTGGAGCTGGACGGACCTACGCTGGCGGTGTCGTCGGTGGAGGAACAGGAGACGGAGACCTCGCTGGTGCTGTCTCCTCCTGTAACTGCTTCGTCGTTCTGCAGACAAGACAAGAAAAAAGAGAGAGTGTTTTAATTTTAAAAAATCTCTCTCCCAGGCGTCCCACAGGGAACTGTCAGAGTTAATGAGACCTCGCTTCATTTATGGAAAGATGACAGAGATAAATTCTATAACCGGATGAAATGTTGGTATTTCAGAGACTCGACATGTGCACTAGTATCCTCTTTCAAAGTATTAATATCCATCCTACATGGAACCAAGGATTAGTCCATGACGATCTCAGGGTGCTTAGAGGGGTTGTTGTTGTTGTTGTTGTTGTTGTTGTTTTAAGTGGGGTTGTTTGAGGTTCTTGTCACATGTAAGTATATTATCCACAGGAAATGAAGGTCACTATTTTATTGAGAGACCGTCCGGATTTCCGGCTCAGAGCTCGATTAGAAAATGTTTTTGAAATGAACTGAGCCAAAAAAAAAAATGTGTGAATAGAGAAAATTGTCAGAAAGTCACTTTCTTTTGCAATCATTTATGATCCTCTGTCTGCATGTGTTTGCGTTTGAGCTTTAAACAAAAATGGCTGCTATGAATGTGACCAAGGAAGAGTCAAGAACAGAGCCTCACAAGAAAAGAAACCTTTAACCAAACAGCACTGTAGTATAAATAACTGTGGAGCAATCCAAGAGCACATTTCACTGAATAAATAAATAGATCTATGTAGATTATGTGAGAGAAGAGAACTTCCAATTATTCTCATCATGTATATCCATCAGCGTTCATTCACTCATGCATGAATAAAGAGAGCGTCAGGGAGCTTTTTTTAACCCGCAGGAACGAGATATAATGAGGACCAAATGGCAAAGCTTAAGGATAATGAGGTCGAGCAGCTTTATAGCAAAACACTGACATTCAAACCAAACACCAATAAATGACGGCAGACGCTGAGAAAACAAACCTTTCTCTGGAAGAACGTAGCCAACTTATACACCAACACCGTTTTCACACATGCACTCCTTTAAGATTTATGGATTAACGTCAGGAGGTGGAAACAGACTGAAACCATCAGAAAACCCAGAACGACGGCACAGAGCCCAAGTTACAGGACACAAGACGTTTTCACATCCATACTCCTGAAAATATGTAGATAACTTCAGGAGGACTGAGCCTGAAATCCTCCTGATCTGTTGTTCACACATGAACCTCACAGCGAGAGACTATGGGGGGGGGGGGGGATGCAAAGAAGAAAAGGTGACTTCATGATAAAGCAGAGCAACATCTCTCCCTCGTACAGTCCCTGTTTGTCTTTACGAGGCCGCTCTGTAATATGAGGAAAGAAGGAGGAAACAAACAGCTCTGATAAATAAAGTACTCGCTGTGTGTTTCTGGTGGGAAACAGCTCCTCCACACACACACACACACACACACACACACACACACACACACACACACACACACACACACACACACACACACACACACACACACACACACACACACACACACACACACACACACACACACACACACACACACACACACACACACACACACACACACACACACACACACACAGGTATGATGGTGTGTTCAGAGCTAATTTGTAGGTGTGAGTTTTAACTGGCTCTATTGTGCTGCCAGCTGCACTGTGTGAGCTCAGCACAGAGACGCTTCTGTTGGAGAGCTCCGAATGAAAGATCTGCTTCATGCTGCCGACACGGCGTCCTCTGGGAGAGAGTGTGGGTTTGTTTATGCGAGTATTTAACGTGTATACATTCAGCCGAGAGAGAGAGAGAGTGCATACGAGTGCAGGTCATGTTTTGGGAGTCGTTCGATTGAAGCTTTGGAAGCAGGAGAAGGACTGAGCTCAGTTTCAAACTTTCTCTTTCCTCCACTTTCAAACTGGAGCTGGAGAGCCTTTAAAGAGCGCCGCTCCAGGACACGTGACCTTACACTGATACAACATTTTCTCTCACAGTTTTTTTTCCACGGCTTGTAGAACATTTCCAGCATGAGATATTCTACAAAAAAGACACCGCAAACATTAATCCTTTCTTACTGAAGCTGAATTTAGCTGTTGGGTATTGTGGGGGAATTTAACATCATGCATCACTATGACATTTTTGTCCATTTGGTCAAATGTTTCCTCTTCATCTGGTCATCATTTTGTCTGTTAGTGCATATGGAACACATTTTATAAGAAAGTTTATCTCTTGACACATTTTGGAATGAACATTTTAGTTTTTTTTAATAGATCAATAAAACACTGAAACATGTTTACTACCCTCTGAAGTCACTAAGGACAAAAATGTCCACTTCCAAAAAACTGATATAAAAATTGAACAGATTGATATTTGTTTCTACTTTTTTCTGCATAAATCTCTTAAACAACTTCAGCCCTTCAAAACTACCAAACATTCAATCATTTTTAGGATTTTAACCCTTTAAATGCCAGTTTGATTACTTGATGTCACTGTTGGGTTAGGGTTATATATACAAATATTTGGTGGCTGGGGGATTTTTTTTAAATCAGTCTTGGATATGTCAAAGATTATCCAAAATATTGACTTTGATGCATTGTTAGTTTTTGTGTAGCATCAGATTTCAAATGTAGTTCCCTGTTTGGACATTGGAGGGTGAAAATGTCCAATTTACAAAAACTGATATAAAAATAGAACAGATTATATTTGTTTCTACTTTTTTCTGCATAAATCTCTTAAACAACTTCAGCCCTGCTCAAAACTATAAAATATTGAATAATTAAATGCCAGTTTGATTAAATGATTCTGGCATTTAAAGGGTTAAAATCCTCAAAATGATTGAATGTTTGGTAGTTTTGAGCAGGGCTGAAGTTGTTTAAGAGATTTATGCAAATAAAAGTCGAAAAAATATGAATCTGTTCTATTTTTATGGCAGTTTTTTGGAAGTGGACATTTTTGTCCTTAGTGACTTAAGAGGGTCGTAAATGAAACTGATGTCTGAGGGTTAAGCCCGTCCCCGTGTGTCCACCGTGTCCTAATGTTCATCACACTCTGATATTACAACAAAAAGGACGTTCGTTCACATTAACAGGAGCATGCTTGGAGTTCTCCACACTGCAGAAAATGGGAGAGAAAACGAGTATTTCAGCTGTAACCAAAGGGCGCCCCGGCTTCAAACAGACTTTAAACATCAGCCAAGCGACAGCAGGGACCGCAGCTCGCGCTTCCCCCAGCAGCGGAGAGCAGAGCTGCCGGCTTGAAAAAGATGCTTAGTACATGTTTGGCATCTCAGCCTCGGGGTGCTGATAAATAAAAAGCCGAGCGTAGACTGACAAAATAGCTGCTTCATATATACTGTATAATCCCTATAGGAGCAGCTGCAGGGGCAAACACACAGAAACATGTTCTCACTGCTCAGTGAGAGTGAGCGGGAGGCTTGGATGGCAGCCAGGAGAGGGTGTTGTGAAAGTTGTTGTGCCCTGAATTTCCTGCTAAATCAAAGTAAATACATTGTCCATTAATTTCACATTTGTTCCATTGATCTTTTGGAACAAGTTGTTTCTACACTCGCAGGGAAACACATCAAAAGTATGAAGTTTTTTCTGTTCGTTTCAAGTTTATTTTACATTTTCTTTTTCTTGACTTCACTCCTGCCCTGCAGTTTTTTCCCATCTTCCCAGTTTGAAACCGACACATTGGATCAGTGATTGATTTTTTTAAAAGGCAGTGTGCATGTTTTCAGCTTAGACAAGTAAGAAACATTGGTCGGGGTCCAGTTTGTTTCTCCTGGGGATGCATCGTACTCACAGAACTCTGTTTACAAAGAGGAAGCGGAGAGAGAGTCTGACCTTTCTGAAGACGCTGTCGTATCCCGTCTCAGCGTTCAGGAAGCTTTCGATGTCGCTGCCAGAGTCTCTGTGAGCTGTGGACTGACAACTGGGGACCCTGCTGGTTCTGCTGGGCGTGCTGGGAGACTCTGAAGACTGTGAGGATCCTGAAAGACACAAAAACAGCAAATGTGTTAACACTGATGTATAAATATGAACGTACCAGAGGAGGCCAAGGCTGCAACATTTCATTTATTAATCAATAGGACTCAACAGTGTTGTTCAGGATACAAGCTCAGTGAAGTAACCCCTCATCCCAATCCCCCCCCGTGCCCGAATGATAAGTGACAACCACATACACCATGGCCGTTGCCAACGCAACCAAAACAGTGATGTCCCCTTCAAACGAAGAGAAGTGAAACAACTGCAGCAGAAGTGTCAAACATTCTCTGGTTTCAGCTTTTCAATTTGACATGAAGAGGAGTGAAACGTCTTTGTGTTTCGGACCATAGATTTGGAAATGAAGCAGCTTCATGACACTGAGCATGCTCACAAGTTGTGATGACATTTACTCGCATTTCATTTCATTTAAAGCTCCTGTGAGGAGTTTTTTTGTGCAGCTATGAATCAGACTTCTTTAAAAAAGCAAAGCAAACCATCAACGAGAATATTTTGACTTTCAGGAGGCGGGCTCTCGAGTAGACGTACTGTAGCTCCTCCATGAAGACACTTCATGATCAGGAAAAAACAGCAGGGACATAAAAGATATCCCATCGTCCACAAGGGGAGCCATAATCAACACGAACCAACAGTTCCCCACAGGAGATTTAATCGACTTTGTCCATCTGTGAATCTGGAAATAATCTGCAGATGAATCAATGAAAAATAATCATCAGTTTCAGCCCGAGATCCATGTCACTTCAGATTTCCTCAAAGGAAGCATTCAGAGTTCAAAAGTAAAAAAAAACACAGAGAAACGCCATGTTTCCAGAATAATATGTTCCCGCCCCCTCCTCTCAAACATAATCAGGTCTTTGAGAGATCAGTGTGACTTCTGGGAATCTGAGAAGGTGTGAAAAGGCCGGAGGATCAATGGCCGCCTGTCTTTACTAAAGCCGTCTGTGCTAAACTGCAAAAGAAAACAACTCCTGTTTGTGTGTGTAAAGAAGTCTGAGGGCAGAGCTGAAGTCTGATTCTCACTCAGATTAAAGAGTTATTGATGTTTCTGCAAAACTGCATTTGAAGGCGGAGCAGCATCACATCAGTCACCCCGAGGAGGAGGAGGAGGAGGAGGAGGAGGAGGAGGGACAAAGACCTAAGAGGACTCTCCTGCTGGATCAGCTTTAAATATAGAAGTTAATGAAAACCTCATTCTGATGTTTGACCAGATGTGATCAGGGACATCATGCAGGCGCTTTTAAAGATGGAGTCAGGAGCTTGTTCCTTCAAAATAAAACACAGACTTCTCCTAAAGTGAGGACAGAGTCAGCAGCTTTCGCCTTCAAAATAAAATACCGTTGGCTTGCAGTGTAGGTACAAGCAGTAAACGTACACACTACATCCTGCAGGGGGCGGGGCTTCTAGAGGAGGAGGGGCCATGTTTGAATGTTGTGTTTACAAAACAAAAAAATGCGACAGACTCAACCTTTAAGCTCCGCCTCCAGCCATCTGGTCTGAGAACACGGTTCATCAACTCCCCTCTTTCTTTAGCCACAGCAGCTTTTAACAGCAACCCAACAAGAGATGCTTTGGTATCCCCCCCCCCTCCCCCTCCCCCACCCACTGAATAACAAGTAACCCACCCTAAAGTTTGCACCAAGCACAACATTTCTCTGCTCGTCTACATGTAAGGACATGATCAGATAAGATCCCAGACTAAAAGCAGACATGTGTAATCACAGTAGTCTTACTTCAGCCACATGCCAAGAACAGCTGCATGAGATCATTCACCCAGCGGGTTCCTTTACATCATCTCTGAGGTCTATTTCTGCAGGAAGAGGAAGTTCTTCTTTCTGTCCCTGAAGAACATTTTCCCTGCGCTCACATGAGAAAGAGGAAGTGTGTGTGCGTCTCTTTGTGTGTGTGTGTGAGTTCAGCCGCTGGAGGATCTGGATTCTGTGAGGGAACGAGGGACACATCATAAAGAATGCAGGTTTAAAGTAAAGCCAGACGCCCAAAGAACAACATATGTTACTATAGTATGTGTGGGGGGGACATGGAGCTGCAGTCAGCTGTTAAAAGGAGGGGCGGGAAGGGGATCAGGAGAGGGGGGACAAAGGGGTTTGGCAGAGGAGTCACTTTAGCAATAATCTGTAACTTTCTGTTTGGTTATTTCTTGGTGTTCTTGGTTAATCTGTTCCCATTATTTGTGTTATTTGTCTAAAAACTTAATTTGTTTTGGCCAACAAGTCCAACATCATTCACTGATTGATGAAAACATTTTGATTCTTCTGTGAATAAAGCACAAAAATAAGAAGGGGAGGACCAGGAAAGTTTTAAACTTCTTCCTATCCCTTTTGAACATGAACTTTACATTATTTGAGTTATTTGTTTGTTGCTATGGAGCCAGTTTTTTTTTGTTTTGTTTTTTTCCTTTTTATTTTGTGTTTGTATTTTCTTAACATGTTCATAAATCGCCTAATAATAATCTGTTACTCTGAAACGAGCAAACGAGGGGCCACAGTCACAGACTTCCTGAAAGTGACTGACTGCTTCCTCCTGAGGGTTAGACGCTCCACCACAGGCCGACGTGTTCATGATACCACCATAACTCTGATTCTAGAGAAAACTGACGTCCTATAGGAACCTATAGTTTCAAACTCCTACACGCTGTCCTGATCGCACAAAGCTAACAAAGTTCTGACATTTAGACAGCGACTCTAGATCTGAAGTTTAATGTTCCGGTACTTTTCGAGATTATCGATCATTAAAGGAGCAGTATGTAACTCTGACCCCTAGTGTTTAAAATGGGTACTGCAGTCTAAATTCTAAACATCATAGAGAGCTGTCTCCCCCCTCCTCTCTAAGTGGATGCTCACTCAGGTCACCATGTGGTGGACTCTGAAGCTTCAGTGTTTATCCAGCTCTGCATGGGACCATGAACCTCCTCGCTGTGAGCTAACCACTACACCACCGTGAAGCTGCTTATCAACAATTAAGCCAAAAATACACAAAGTGAGAAATGTGGTGTCACAAAGAGTCAGTCTGAAACACGTCGTGACAGATACAGCGTGAGTGTCTCTGAGAAGGAGAGTCACACACCTCCAGGTCTTATTCAGGGTGATATCATGTGGACGTGCTTCTCAAAACATCCAGTAATAAGCTCTTCTTTCTTTTACACAATATGACACTCCAAACAGAAAATCTCCACCGACCTGTCTCCCCACGCGCTCCGCCAGCGCTTAACCTCGACCACGGCGGTTTAGGAAGCTGATCCAGAAACATTTCCACCGAGTCTTAACGTAGGTAACAAGTCCAGCACGAGTGGAGGATCCCACAATGTGACGTGTGTGTGTGTGTGTGTGTGTGTGTGTGTGTGTGTGTGTGTGTGTCCGGGGGGGGGGGGGAGTGGTGAGTTGGGGTGACAGCAGTGGCAGAGTTTTTTCATAGACTCCTCCCCCTCACACCTGTCCTCCAAAAGTAGCAGGGGACTGTGAGCTTTGACAGCTGTCTCCCTTAGTCACACACACACACACACACACACACACACACACACACACACACACACACACACACACACACACACACACACACACACACACACACACACACACACACACACACACACACACACACACACACACACACACACACACACACACACACACACACACACACACAGAGTGGACAGGTGTAAAGCCCTCAGTGGGTGGTTGAGGTTGTTGAATGTGAACACCTGTACTCATTACTTTCACTAATATGCAACATGTGTTTTTTTTCTTCATCTTTCATTTGACTTTGATTCAGAGATTAAAAACGATCGCCACAGAGGAGCGTTTGAAGCGGATGAAGCACGGAAAAGCTAAAAAAGATGAGAGACGCATCGACAAATGAAGATGTTTAAGTTAAATATGTCTGTGCTGTTGTGCAGAATCGTGTCCCACATACCTGCAACTACAGTCAACTGCTGATTATTGTCACAGTTCATGTTTTAACCCTGAAATCTTTAAAATGTTCAGAAAAGCTGAAAAAAACTAAAATACAGTCGCTTGATGCTTTAAAGGAAGAATGATCGACATGTTCCACATCAATAAATCCTAAAGTCTGTCCTGTGTAAATGTGTCTCTGAGTCCTGACTGTCTACAATGAGGGAGAAGCTCGAGTCCTGCTGGCTGTGTTGTTGTCAGAGCCGTGTTTACATGGACGGGACGGCCGGCTCCTCCCCTTGTGTATAAAAGCTGTTTTAGTCAAGAACTAGAGAGAAGAAGAAGAACATACTCACTGATTATTTGGATGTTAGTAAGAGTTTTTAGATCACGCTCATTCTGTGTCAGTTTACATGAAATGCTAAGCTACGAGCTAACTAAAGAGCGCTAACATTAGCATGCTAACACAACAATGTGAAGCTACGAGCTAACTAAAGAGCGCTAACATTAGCATGCTGACACAACAATGTGAAGCTACGAGCTAACTAAAGAGCGCTAACATCAGCATGCTGACACAACAATGTGAAGCTACGAGCTAACTAAAGAGTGCTAACATTAGCATGCTAACATGCATGCTAACAATTTTGTCTGCAGCTTGCACTTAATGGCGCTTAAATACGGTGCGTTCTAATTGATAACTCCTTCATGTGAACGTGAGTGGAGAGGGGTTGGAGGTGTGTCTCTGGAGGAGAGCGGAGGCTTCAGTATGGAGGAGGCGTGGCCTAACAGCAGTTTGTTTTGGTTTCATGCTGGAGCTCAAGGGCGACACTACTGGATCAAAAAGTCGCTCATTCTTCCTTTGAAACTGACAGAAGCATGTGATCGAGTTCAGGGGGAAACTGAGTGTTTCATTGCAGACACAGACTTGTAGAACTTGTCAACACTGTACTTTATTGTAAAGTCATGAAACCAGTGACTCCTATCACAGCTGAAACTGTTTGACAAATACAAAGCGGGCGTGAACTCTGAGCAGAAGTACATAAGATCTTTTCCACACAAATCATCCCGTCTGCAGAATCAACGTGGTGAGAAGTAACTGACCAGATGAAGAATCCATGGTCGTCATGACATCACTCTCTCCTCTGTCTGCACGTTTTCACGCTGAGAGAGGAGAGGAGGTGCAGATCTTATCGGCTCTCTGGGGTAAAAACCTGGATTTTATTTCTCTGAATAAACTCAAAATGTTGTGTCCATGCTTTCTGAAAAAATGACTTGTTGAACGTTTAACCGTCCAGGACTAGCAGCAAACTGGAAATCTAAAGCAGGGGGGCGGGGTCACTTTTATTTATAAACATTTATAATCCACCTTCAAGTCAAGTTGAAATCACAAAGTGCCACAAACGCAGATATTAAAATACAAAGAGGTCTAAACAGATCCAGCAGACCAGGACTGTAAGACACACCAAGGAGCATGTCAGTAAAAACATTTTTAAAAAGAGGATCTCAGATTTTGCTAATCTGAGATCCTCTGGCAGCCGGGAGTTTAAGGCAGCAGAGGCCCGATCACATTTCATCACATCCGGAGACTCTGGGAGTTCCTGTGTCTGATCTCAAACAGCAATCAGGTGCATCAAAAGAGAAAAGACCACACATGTGAGGGAGTGTCAGGAAGTGCTCCGACTGCAGCCTTTGAATGTTCCCCTAACTGATACCTGGATTAAAGAGTGGGGCAGTTATCAAACCTGGAAGGGAAGAGTGTATGAATGATGTTTTCTAAATCTGAAAAGGAGAAATCTTTTAGAAATTTGAAAGCATGAACAATGTTTTTCACTCTTCAGTCAAGATGCTGCTTACATGTTTCCTCCTTTTTCTCCCCTAAAATCAAAATCCAATCGTCTGCAGTCGTCCTTGAACACCACTTAACCAGACTGTAATTTACCATTTACCCCTATATCTTTGTTTTCCAGGTTCGCTGGATTATTTTGGCCCTTGAAGCCAAGGCGTGTCTCCTCCTATATAAATAAGGGTTTGTGGATCCAGTCGAGCCAAACATCATGCAACATTACAAACAACACTCTCGCCTGCAGACCACAGGCAGCAAAACTACCCAACGCTGCATTTTTTAAAAAACACAAGAATCCATGAGATGATGGGACGCAGATTCAGGACGGCCACACAGCTGATTGTGTGCATGTGGAGAAGCTTCAGCTGTTCTCTGTGAAGTGTTGCTTTGAGCGTTGTGCATCTAAACTTTGTGAAATGTAAAACTTCAGATTCCACTCAGCTGGATTTGGATATTTTGAGACTGTCGGACACCTTCAGGCAGATCACAGTAGGAACAAAGTCTCATCTCCGTCTTAGACCGGGTGGTTTGGTAACTTAATACCCCTCAGTCGACCTCTTCACCCCGACCTTTGACACCGGCTAAAGAGGGTCAGTCCCTTTGACTTCCTGTTTCACTAGTCTGCTTTAAAAAGTCTTCATTCAACTCAGACTACTGAACACTTTCTGAAGTAAATTCAAACGGTGACATAAACTCTCGACCTGACGGGAGAGAGAGAGATAAAAGATGTTGGGATGAGGGATGAGTTGAGTTTAAGAAGAGGGAGATATCTCAGCCAAACAGGAAGTGATGTCGTCCCAGCTGCTGCAGGGAAAAGCCCCCTCACCCACCCTTCAACATTATATTCTGTGTGGCACTAAATAATCCTCTCTCTCTCTCTCTCGCTCTCTCCTCTCTCCTCTCTCTCTCTCTCTCTCTCTCTCTCTCTCTGTCTCTCTCTCTCTCGCGCTCTCTCTCTCCTCTCTCTCTCTCTCGCTCTCTCTCTCTCCTCTCGCTCGCTCTCTCTCTCTCCTCTCTCTCTCTCTCTCTCGCGCTCTCTCTCTCTCTCTCTCCTCTCTCTCTCTCTCTCTCTCTCTCTCTCTCCTCTCGCTCGCTCTCTCTCTCTCTCGCTCTCGCTCTCGCTCTCTCTCTCTCTCTTCTCTCTCTCTCTCTCTCTCTCTCTCTCTCTCTCTCTCTCTCTCTCTCTCTCTCTCTCTCTCTCTCTCTCTCTCGCTCTCTCTCTCTCTCTCTCTCTCTCCCTCCTCTCTCTCTCTCTCTCGCTCTCTCCTCTCTCTCTCGCTCTCTCTCTCTCTCTCTCTCTCTCTCTCTCTCTCTCTCGCTCTCTCTCTCTCTCGCTCTCTCTCTCTCTCTCTCTCTCTCTCTCTCTCTCTCTCTCTCTCTCTCTCTCCTCTCCTCTCTCTCTCGCGCTCTCTCTCTCTCTCTCTCTCTCTCTCTCTCTCTCTCTCTCTCTCTCTCTCTCTCTCTCTCTCTCTCTCTCTCTCTCCTCTCTCTCTCTCTCTCTCTCTCTCTCTCTGTGTAGATGTGTGTAACATCAGATCAGAAACAGGATTTTTCTACCTGGAGACATCAGAACAAAGAACGTGGCACTGTGTCATGTATATACACTCCATACCCCGGATTCTGAAAGCTGCCGACTGTGCAGGCGCGGCATCAACCAAGTGACGCATCAGCACAACAAACATGGCGGTGGCAACAAGAGAGTCTTACTTCTGCAGCAATGAAGAAACATCTGCAACGCCATGTCGGCGTTTAACAGAGCTGTAGTCCATGTAGACTCCGTCGGTGTCAGAAGTTTAAAAACTGTCAAACATGTCAAAACTCCCGTGTTCTTTACAGTCTTTCTCTCTCCAGCTGATAGCAGGAGGTGTTATTCACTATGATGTCATCTGTTTGTCGGGGTCGTTGGGTTCAGAGAGCGGCGCTCTAAGATCCGCCTCGATGACATCATGAGCCACAAAGCTCTGAGAAACTTCTCGCACAGTAACAGGAACAAAAGTCACTTCCCAAAACTGTGCTGATCGACAGCAGCACATAAAGGGTTAACTGGTGCGTCCTCTTCTGTCCAGATGGAAGACATATTGTATGTATCACATCGCTCAAACACACCTCTGAAACTCACTGAGACTCTAAAGCTGCAGAGCGTCTGGTTCCTCCAGTAAAACAGTCAGACCTGTGAACATTTGAAGACGCACTAACACGACACTTTGACACTTTGAAAACTTTCTGTTAAGGTTCTGTTTCATGATCATGAGAATTGAGGACTTGGGTGGGTTTTCATCCCAAACAGGAGAGTGGAATAAGTGTCTGCTCTGTTCTTTTCCTTCTGCAGCCTCAAAGTAACAACACAGTAATAACCTCTAAGAGGACGCTGGTAGCCTAGCGGTTAGATTATGCATCACATGTACAGAGGCTAGAGTCCTCTGAGCGGACGACACCGGGTTTGAATGTGACCGGTGGCCTCTTTCCTGCATATCATTCCTCTCTCTCTCTCTCACCATGATTTCTGACTCTATCCACCTCAGATCCGGTCTCTACATTCACGGCACAAAAAAACCTGATAATAAATATTTAAAGAAAAAAAAAGAAAAAAAAGAAAAACCTTCAATGCAAGTTCTGCTCTGACGATCACAGAAGAGTTCAAAAGCATCAGATTTCACTTCCAGAGAAGGAAAAGAAACAAAAGTAACTTTGGAAAAAAGACGGTTTAGCAGAATATTTATTATATTCTCTTAATTCAGCCAAGTACATTTAAACATAAAGGAATCTGACTTGGTGTATTGGTGCTAAACAATTAACAAGGAAATAAAGCAGAACTAGAAACAACTTAAATAATACAGAATAAGAAGATATTACAATATATAAAATAGAATTTAAAAATGTAAAATATAAAAAACACAAAATGTACAAGCTGTGCAGTGGACTATGAGAAAAAAAATCTTAACTGAGTGATATAAATAAATGATGATTCATCGTATTTTGATTTATTTCTCTGAATCTGGGGAGAAACTTGCTGCGTAAGGAGTTTGTCTAAACTTTTGAGATGAAGTTTAGTGAAGGTAAAGTTAACATGGTGAACCTGAAATATCTGAATATTGGATCAGATCCACAGATTCTTGTGTGGCATCAGAATCTCTTACTCACACACACACACACACACACACACACACACACACACACACACACACACACACATCTCATGGCATTAGAGCAGCTTTTGTCTCCACTTAAATCATTTCCTCCTCTCAGCAGACAGAGGACAGAGAGCAGAGCAGCTTTAAGTAACACTAAAGAAACGTCTGCTCAGGCTCACATGATGAAAGTTGTCTTTGCTTTGTGTCAGTGACACTTCAGACGGGCTGTTTGAGAAGTCACCACACTAACATCCAGCCGCTGTCACTTCAAACAAACAGAGGATACAGCCTCTCGGAGCATAAACAAGCGTGCAGAAATGACCCACTTCTGCACATTAGTCACACATGAGGAAATGACCTCGCTGTGGTTCATCGCAGTATACAGAAAAAAGTCCTCAAAGTCCCAAAACTACAGCACGCCGTTAGACTCCATGATCCTGTAGGAGCACAAAGGGAGGTCGTCTCTTACCTGAGTGGAGAGCGCTGCAGGGCTGATGAAACGACGCCTCTCTGTCTCGCTGGATCTGCAGAGAAACAGGAAGACAGTGAATCAGCCTCAGCAACATGTGATCGTCAGCCACACAGAAGTCATGATGCAGAGCAGCGTGGCGGTTAGGAAGTGTTGCTCGCTGCAGAGGATGGGAGGCGACGACGACAACACGCTCTTTAGAACAGACGACTCGAGAGCTTTCATTGGACGGAGCCGCGCTCGCTCATCAGAGGCGAGGAACTCGTCCAAAGATACAGCTGGAAGTTTGTTTGAAGACACCATCACACACACACACACACACACACACACACACACACACACACACACACACACACACACACACACACACACACACACACACACACACACACACACACACACACACACACACACACACACACACACACACACACACACACACACACACACACACACACACACAGCTTGACAGAGGTCTGTGGTTGGCTGTAAACACACAACGCTGCGGCTCTGCTTCCTCTGTGGTCTGAATGTCTATTGAACAGCTGTGTGTGCGTTGGTGTGTGTGTGTGTGTGTGTGTACTGGCTGGTTGTGGCTACACAAGCTGAACAGGCCACCCCACCCACACCGCACACCCCCCCCCACACACCCACACCCACCAGTTTGTCTGAAGCTGTGCAGATTTGACTGACAGCTCACAGTGTGAAGCAGAGAGAGTCAGAGACACTCATTGTGTTTTAATGAACTCTGAAAGATAAAGAGAGAGAGACAGAGAGAGAGAGAGAGAGAGAGAGAGAGAGAGAGACAGAGAGAGAGAGAGACAGAGACAGAGAGAGAGAGAGAGAGAGAGCAGAGAGAGAGACAGAGACAGAGACAGAGAGAGACAGAGACAGAGACAGAGAGAGAGAGAGAGAGAGAGAGAGACAGAGAGAGAGAGGGAGAGAGACAGAGAGAGAGAGAGACAGAGACAGAGAGAGAGAGAGAGAGAGAGAGAGAGGAAGATGATCTCTGATTAGAACGAGTCCCTCAAACAGGATAACAAGTCCTCCTCACTCTCTTCAGGATGAAGTGATATCTGACCTAAACCTCCTCCCTTCAAAGGTCTGCCTCCTCCCTCCTTAGTCCCTCTCTCCTAACCTCAGTAAACCCGAGTTAAGTCCGGCTCAGATCAGCAGGACTTCAGTGAGGCCTTTTTAAACTCTGCAGGGTGAGATTTGTACCAAAGCAGCTCCAGACGGGTCCTTAATCTACAGACCACAACCTTTAAAGAAAGAGGAAACAGAGAGGCAGGTTCAGTCACATGACGTCTGTTCTTCTTCCAGACGCTGAAGACTCTGGATCCAGGTCTGAACCCGGCTCAGAGTCCGTCAGTCACATGACGTCTGTTCTTCTTCCAGACGCTGAAGACTCTGGATCCAGGTCTGAACCCGGCTCAGAGTCCGTCAGTCACATGACGTCTGTTGGATTCTAAGGAACTGTTCACTCAGATAACAAGTGAGTAACACTTCAGTCCAGGTGTTTACACTTTAAGGCATGATAAATGAAGGCGCACTCCTCATCTCTAGTGCAATGGTTCTCAACTGGTGGGTTGGGACCCAAAGGTGGGTCGCAGAGCTGTTTTCAGTGGGTCGCAAATACAGTATGTGACAGGAAGAAGAAAAAAATGTCACCAAGTCTATGAAGCGATCTTAAAACATGTCGATGTTGTTCCTTCTCTTTGTTCTGTCACAAGTTTCAGACCATCTGAGGTCCAAACTGCACCGCTTTTCATTCAATAAATCTGATTGGTCGAAAACAAAATAGCAGAAATTTGGGTCACAAGCTTTCTTGAAGGAGTTGTTGGAGGGTCCTTAGGCTGGACCAGTTCAGAACCACTGGTCTAGTGCAAGTTTGCCCTAAGCTCCTCCCCTTTTGAAAAGACTGTATGGGTCATGGTTCACACCCGGGGCAGGGGGGGGGGCGGTCCTTAATGCTGCCCAGGATGATCTCAGTCCTCAGGATGCGTTGGGGTGCGTTCAGGTGATCCACTTGTCACCCAGGATGGTGAAGACCCCCTTATTATCACATTTAAGAGGCCAGCAAATTTTACCTCAACTCAACTTTTACACTTTTAAGGATGTTTGAACCGTCTTTGTTATTGAATATATTTCAATCTTCTGTGAGGAGCTCTGGGTTTACATCCATTTTTGATCTGTTGATCTCGTCCTGACCAGGTTGAAGTTGAGAGAACGAGTGGGGACGACATCTGGGACAGGAGCCAAAAGGTGGGATTCAAACCTGGGCCCTTCCGCCTGGAGGACCACAGCCTCTGTACATATGTGGTGTGGCTTTACCGCTAAGCCATCTGAGCTGTCTTTCCTGATGAAAAATCTCCTCCTGCTTTCTGTTAACGGTCTAACACATCTCTCACTGTGGAAAATGTAAATGACGTCTGTTTCTGCAGCTCACAGTCGATCCCGACATGTGACCCCGACATGTGACCCCGAGCCGGCGGCGGAGGTCACGAGCGTGTTGGTGTCAGTGAGGGTCTTATTTTCTGTTGAAGGTCGTAAAGAGGCGTCAGGAATAAAAACAGTCTGTTTCATAAGCAGGTAAAAACTCCTCACAGGAAGTTTAGTGTTCATTTGAATGCTGTGAATACTTCAGTTTGATGTTCTGATTGGAGGAGGGGGATTCCTTCCTCAACACGAGAGGACGCCATGAATAACAAACTAAACTGGTTCAGAGACAGAGGCGAGTGAGGAGGTTAAAAACTGATCAAACTGACAGCAGGAGGACGAGTCAAACTCCCACAATGCTTTGGGGGTTGACGGGGCTGAGTTCAGCTTCTTAACAACTAACCCTCGACTGTCCCAGAGCGCCGTCCTGTCAGGCCACTGATCCCTGCACACACACTGAGCGCTGTGTGTGTGTGTGTGAGTGTGTGTGTGTGTGTGTGTGAGTGTGTGTGTGTGTGTGTGTGTGTGTGTGTGAGTGTGTGTGTGTGTGTTTGTGTGTGTATGAGTGTGTGTTTGTGTGTGTGTGTGTTGTGTTGTTGTGTGTGTGTGTGTGTGTGAGTGTGTGTTTGTGTGTGTGTGTGTGTGTGTGTGTCAAATCATCCACTATGACCAAACACTTCTAGATTCCTATAACCAGCAACAGTCGCTCACAAACCAACTGTGTTCATACAGAGACATCACAAACACTTCTGCTTCTTTCATTCACTCGTCAAGTGTCACACGCACACAACAACGGCCCCAACACACACACACACACACGCTGTCACACACACGCTCTCACACACACGCTCTCACACACACTCACTCTCTCTCCTCACAGCTGTGTTCAGATTTCAAACAGAGCCCGCTGAGAGAGAACAAACACGCTGACGAGCAAAGATTAGCTGGTCACAGAGGCGCCAGTAGGCCTACACACACACACACACCACACACACACACACACACACACACACACACACACACACACACACACACACACACACACACACACACACACACACACCACACACACACACAACACACACACACACACACACACACACACACACACACACACACAACACACACACACACACACACACACACACACAGATAAAACTTAAAATACAACCGAATAATTACAAACAAAGAATATCAGCTTTTTCTGTGACTTTATTTAGAGACAGTGGATGGAGTTTCAAATCACCACAGCCTCCACACACGGGGCAAGAGCACCAACCACTAGGCCACCGGCTCACCAGAACTCTTTCCTGGGGAGATTTTCTCTCTTTGTTTCCCTCCAATATAATCACAACAAGAAAAGATGCAACAATTATATTTTTTTACGATATCCTGCAGCCCTTATAGAACCTTGATGGGATATGAAGTGGACATCCATACTTGTTCTGCATCTGCTCACATGTTTCCTTTATTCATGCAGCGTGTTGCAGGTCGTATTGTGAGGCGTAATGAAGTCAACTGAATAAAAAAACACTGAATATATACGAGCAAGAACAAATAGAAGTGTCTCTAAATCTAAATCACAGCATCAACCTTCTCCACTCAGTGATGCTTGTTGCATAGCAACCCTGAGCAACATTTAACCCCGTGTCTCAAAACAACAACAGAGACAGAGAAAACAAATAAAAATGGAGCTCTTTGCTCTTCTGTTCTCGATTCTTTTGTGACTCTGCATTCAACGAGATGAGAAATAACCAACAGACGACCTTCAGCTTTCAGCCTGAAAAACAGCTGATTTTATGAGAGAAGACGGAGAGAAGATGGTCAAATAAAAGGAGGGCGGGACAATCAGTGGGACAAAGATGAGGGGGTTATGGTCGTCAACATTTTCAATACGTCGACACCTTTCTGATCTGTTGTCTAAAGTGAACAAACAGGTTGGCAGTGTGTTTCGACAGTTTGCACACTGTTTTTAATTAAGAACAAGAAACGACCCAGTACCTAGGACCTCTATCCTCGTCGCCATGGTATCCAACCAGGTATTGTTATCCTTTGATTTACACAAAAATCGTATCAAAGTTTGAAAATGTTGTGGCAATCAGAGCTAACGTCCCGCTTCACTTCAGGAAAAGATGTTGTGAATCAAACTTTATTGAGATATTATCAACAGACATGCCTCCACTCAACACTCCCTATACTCAGTTTATCACTCTGCTCGCATGGCGTTTTCACATCAGGCATGATTGTTTCTTACCGTGCCCGAGCTCAATTCCTACCCCTAGTGTGAAACCACCTTTAGATTGATAACCTGAGACCCCTGTAGATAGACGCTCAGAGAGGTAGATAACATTAAACACAGGGTTCAATCTGCATCTTTTCTGCACATGAATTCAGAGTCTGCAGGACCTGATGTTAACATCTGGAGTGTTCTGATTTTTGTTTGCAGTATGAATATTGTCCATTAGCATTCGAGGTGGCCTCTGGCTGTACGCAGGAAAACCAGATCAAACAGACAGAAGGCTAGCCGCTGTAATTTAATCCTGGGACCCATCTGACGCCGATTTACTTTAATAGTTTAATTAATGGCTTTAAACATTAATCCGTATGCAGGTGCAG